ATTATTATTAACAATGACTAATAGTGCCCTTAGATCTTGGACCTGGTCCACTGTCATCGGATGCTACCATGTGATTGGCCCATAGGTGTCACTGTGAACAACATTGATGACGGAGTTTATTTCCCCCTCCCCCCCGTCACCGTTTTTTTGTTTCGCTTCTTTAATTTACCCCGCGTCCTTCCCCGCGGCTCTCAGTAAGTATGGCTTTAGAGCTTTGGGTATTGACGAGGAGTTGGTGATTAACGCACTGTCTCACTCGCACTGCACACACTAGGGGGGGGGGGCTGGCTTGAGTTGTGTGCGCGCGCGTCTGTCGGTGCTGCCGCATTCCCCCCTGTCCCTTCCGTCAGTGTCAGTGTCAGCGCTGTCGAGTTTAAGCATTCGGAGGTGCGTCGGTTGCTGTGACCGCCGATCGAAAAGAGAAACCCCTCGCATATTTATCGGCAGAGTCGCTGCGGCAGCCGCCAGGGTATTTGAGAAAATCCTTGAGAGAGTTGACACGCGCGTGCTGCTGTTGTGGATGCCGGTGATGACGAGCTATATTGTATATATTTATTCAGGAATATGAAGACCCCTTTAAATTGTTTTTTATTTATTCCGAGAGTCTTGCAATTCGGTCAGCAGGGTGGCGTAAGTGGTAACGCTAGTACCTTAAAGCAAGAATCCCCTGGGTTTGATTCCCGGCGAGGGCATTTTGCTGTGTGGAGTTCGTTCTGAGCCTGTTAATCATGGAAGTTATCTGGTTTTCCTACCATATCTAAAAGAAATATGCAGTCGAGTTGGTATTTGGCAAAATATCCCAACGCTGAAATATTACCTGCAAATTATTATTTTGAGATAACACAACTCCCTACGCTCGCTGCCAGTGAAAAAAACCTAGCTAGATAAACAAGCGTAAATAAAATAAATAAATGCACGCATTTTGGATGCATGCCCAAATTGCTTTCAAGGGAGTGTTTTTGCTTTGTGTGGGAGGAAACTGGAATACCTCGGAGAAATCCCGCAAAAGTAAAGGAGATAACGCTCAGAGCCTCTGATGCACGCCGGTTTACAAACCTGGTCGCTGTGACGTCGTGTTCTGGTGAGCTCGCAGCCCATCATTGGGTTTGGGATTTTCACAAATTTACGTCATCCACCAAAACCTTGCTGTGACAAGTGCTGGATCACAGACCCTGCAACCACCGTGCCAAGCCAACGTCCTGCAGCGAATGTTGTATTTAAGTTGTCTAGAATTACAGTAATCCTCTGCTGGATTCTTAGTAATGTTTTTTGTTGCAACCTAATTGAGCGATGTTTAAATCGTTGGACTTCTCAACAGAAAAAAATGGCCGACTCCTGTGAGTGGTGTCGCTTAATCTTAAATTTTTGCTTTGGTGCGCGTGGTGCGCTCCTGTTAAAAATAACACCTTCCTCGCGTAACTAGGCGACTCGTTGGCGATTGGAACCGACGTAGGCTGGCCTGACGTTGTGTTTATCCAGCATGTTGGCGATTGGTGGGAAAAAAAAGAAAAGGCTGTAAAATGATAATGATGATGGTTACGATTAAAATCCAACGCTGGGTTGTAAAATGACGAGCAAGCCCACATGACCGTCTGTCTGTTCCGACTGCAGGGAGTGTCGCCCTGCTGCTGAGTCTTTTGCAAAACTAAGACGATGACAGTTGCGATTAAAATCCAACGCTTGGTTGATAAAATGACGAGCAGCCCACATGACCGTCTGTCTGTCCCTCCCCCTGCAGCCATCTAGAATTTTTTTTTCTTCCAAAAATATTGCATAAAAGTGCCCATCGTTGAATGACAGTCCCTACTTCCTCAACGTCCCAACCACGCCACATTCCACCCATGCTTCCCCTCAGTGCCTCCACCACCACCACGTGCTCACCACCCTGCACGGCCCCTCACCTCTACGTGCTTGGTGGCGCATGACCTCGATTCATTCAGAATGCACGCTGGGCAGCAAGTGGCCAGCCAGAAAAACTGAAAAAAGTCTTTAATGTAGTATGTAGATAAAATCCATCAAAACAGTAAAATGGATGCTGACTGGAAACACACGGGACTTAACGACGCACATGAGAGTTGAAAGTGTTGGCCGCCCCTTCAATCTTTTTGAGTAGGTGGTTTAAATAATACTGCTACACCATCAGCTCTCTTGATTTGTTGGTCTAGACAAGGCTGACAGCACTGTACATACAATGTGGTGGTCACATTATATGCACGAAAGGAGCGATGGGAGTCGTGCTTTCCTGCTGCTTGTGAGTAGCACACTTTTGCGTGTTGTTATTTGGAGAGGGTGGTTTTTGGTTGAGCAAGTTTGGCATTTTTCGACCTTGAGGTGCTGTGTCGGTGCCGTGCCAAAACCATTTGTGCCATTGTCTTCCGGACACCAGCGACGGACGCAGAAAGCTCCGAGCTTCTCACCAGCCCCCCCCCCCCTCCCCGTGTGTTTAGTAGACAGTCGATGCACCAAAGCTTTTAAATTTTCTTTTAATAGAAACTTGTTTTCCCATGACTTTATGCAACTGGTCGTGTCGGGCTTTCGAGCCTTGCCGATATCGACCTTTTCCTATTCTGCCAGCCCAAAGGTCTCCCGACAGATTCCACCACCTCTGTGCCTCCCTACGGTCTCGGCTGTAATCTGGCTGGGTTAGGCTGGGGGGTCGGGGGGGGGGTAGTGTTGCGTGGGTTGTGGAGAATGGGTTTTGAGGGGAGTGGTATTTTAAAAATTATTCTCTTGCCAGACACACGACATTCCGAAGTTCCGTAAGCTGGCCGGTTGTGTAATGTTGTGACCATACCACACATTCGGAGCCGTTAAAACAATAAATTAATGATCATTTTGCCAAACTCGCCGTCGGTCTGGAGGCAGGATGTGGTTTTATTGGCACGTGCGCATTGGGCAGGCTGGTCACGATGTGCGTTGACCCTTCTGTCGAAATGGGTAATTTTTTGCTCACGATGTTTGCGTCTAAATTTAACGTGTACAAATAATATATTATGAACGATTAGTGCATAAAAAAAATCTAATTATATGCTGATACGTTTTGTGCTTTAAAACGCCGCCGCAGGCTTTTCAGCAATCCTCCCACCTCTGCCCCACCCACCATTGGTATAACTGGGCACGCCACAGTGAGACAATCGACGGGCGTGTGTGGCGGGGTAAAGTGTGGGTACGCCAATCTCTTCCACCATGTTTGAACCATGGCCTATCCCATCCCCCTTGGTCCTGTCATGCCACAATCCATCTCGTGATCTCACCGCACGTTCCCTGCGGTGGTCTATCTCCTCTGGTGGGTTCTGTGCTTTGTCCTTCCATCACCAGACTTGTCCAGCGGCTATAATCCTTTCTTGCTATGTGCCCTGCTCAAGCCCACTTATTTTGATATTATATAAATATTATTATTGTTGTTTGAAATATATTGTTTTACGTCGTACACTTTTGCTCGGTATTGAATGTACCATGTGATGTTTTTGTTTCAAATTGCAAAGAAAGATTTTTTGTTTAATACAAAACGAAAAAAAGGAGCTAAATAATTCCAGTTTCAAGCATTTCCTCCGATGTTGTCGATGGCATAATCAAACGGCGGTCAGATTTAAGTATTTATTGCGGATGGAGCTTAGCGCATTTTTGCATCTCGTAACGTAAAGTCAGCGATTTCCTGCTGAAATGAGCATTGAGACGTTGCTCATCTCCTGTTTACAGCCCTGAGCCAGTGGCAGAACTTTTACATTTTTGTGGTGGGGACGAGTCTCCCCATAGGACAATCCGCTGTTCTCCGTTAAGTGGTACTTATTTTATTGGCCATGAAGTCCCCCACCTCCCAACCAGGATTTGAACTCTCCACCTTCGGATGACTGCAAGCAGCTCACTGAGCTGCCTAGCTGGTTGTTATTATTATTAAGGCAGTGACATTAACCTTAGTGCAACGCAAACATTTGCTAGTTTCCTCCGAACACTGAAAGCAATTCTAGTCGTCGGGTGCGTTTCGTTTGGCACGCTGCATACATCCACATTGCCTCGTGTTGTTTTCCCAACAAATGTTAGCGGAAATCAATCGATCCTGCTGGCTTCGATTGGCACCACAGTCCAATCGCCAATCACTTCATCAAGGAAATGCAGATTAAGTCAGCCCTTTAGAGAGAAGAGTACATATCAATAAAGTGGCATTGATGTGCTAATGAATTAAAACGGTCTGGCTTGTGCGCAATGCAAGAGGTTTTTGGTCAGCAGAGGGCAGCGCATTTGAAATCTTTTAGACTTCAACTCTTATGTTTGCAAAAAAAAGAGGCAAATAATTCTTATAAAACGGTTCCAGTAGAACCTAATTATAAAAAACACTTTTATTTTTACTATGAGTCTGATGAGGCCTCTTTGCTTATTATGATCCAACCACCCCCAATGCAGCCCATTTCATCAGACCTCAGGCTAAGCAGGGTTGAAGTCTGGACAACGCTAAGATTGGCGACCGTCATGAATTAAATGGCTGTTTGTAGACTAGCGCTGAGTTTTGGGCGGCAAAGGGCAGTGCAGCATATAATCCATTGTTCCACCGTACTTCTATGCTCCCCACTTTACCAACTGGCACTGGACCAGCGTGGTGAAATACGGTCACATAATCGCCATGACTCACAATGCGTGGGGTGGCCATCATCCAGCAGTGGATTGGCCAAGGGCTGTATGTGTACGAGTAGACAAGGCGCAAGACGTGCTGTGTGAGGTTACATTTTGGGCCGAGCGGTGGATTGTGCTCCACGAAATTAACTGGGACTGTGTACCTAAGCTGTGTGATGCCCAAGGTTTTCTTTGCCTTGTCGAGCGTTGCCATTGTTGACAGAGTATACAAAGCATCTAACTCAGCAAAGAGTCTCAATGCAGACTCGATTTGCAAGTTGCCAAATGCGTTTGTCGATTTTAAATGTTATAAGTCCCTTCGAAAAGTATCTCCTTAAGTCTTCATTAAATAGGCCGCGTTGTATTGATGTCTGCGTCCGTGTCCCTTTTAGATTCCCCGCTCACACCCAGAAGAGCGCGATGACAAGGAAGAGCTGAAGCTGGAAAAGGAGGAAAAGGATGACAAGGAGGCCGGCAAGGATTCTAAGGAAGACCCAAAAAGGTGGGGGGGGGGGGGGGGGGGGGGGGCACGTTCACCGGTTCACTCGTCGTCGATTTAAACACTTTCGTTGACCACAGTTATTCTCGATACGGTTGTGCCCTTGCTCGATGCATATCTATCAATTTACTCAATTTGCGATTACGCGTAACAGCAACGTCTCTCCCTTGGAGGAATTGTTACGTTCCTATTGTTCGACGTGGTAGCCACATTGGCACTTTTAACGGCGCGCTGGTGCGCGTGTTCTTTTTCCATCTCCGCATGTCAGAGAAGGCGGGTGCTCCAGTCCGAAAGTGCACTCCGATTTCCCCGGAATGCAAATCCAGTGAGAGGGTTCTGTGGCTTGGTGACGTGGGTGCCGAGTCAATGACATCTGTGTCACCGGGCCATGATAGTACGGTCGGTTTATTAAGTAACGAAGGCCGTTAGGGTCACCGGTGGCATAAAACTCTCTGGGGGCAGTTTTTTTTTTTTTTACCACTGAGTATTAAGGCCCTCGCCGGGTTGTTTGTGAAGGTTTACTCTGTCGGGTTCATGTCCTGAAGTGCAACCCACTGGCGGCACAATGACCATTATTTATATTCGCAGTGGCGTCGTGCGATTGACAGTGTTTTACAATTCCACGATGGTGAACACCCGTAAAGCTTACATTTATGTAAACAGTGGTTATTTGGCAGGCCGTGTGTTCTGTGGCTGTCCTATGGCACGTACGCACACACGCACGCACACATCCGCACGCACACACACGAGTTGGAATCTTCATAATGGAGAAACAAAAGTACTTTAAAGTGACCGAAAGGAGCATGCTGGTGATGTCGCCGCTGTCGCGGATTTTTAATGTTTTTCCTTTTTTATTAAGAATGAAACTTGAAGCTGATGATCTCACAGCCTTGGCAATTGTGCAGTATGAGCTCTTAGTTTTTTTGGGCTCTGTGTTTGGGCAGTGGCTTTTTAAATAACTACCAGTGGACAGTAGCATCGACTAGAAAAACAAGTTTTTTTTTACCAAGGCACAAAACCTTATTTGTCTTGCGGATGGACTTACCCCCATCGCAGGAATGTGGAATCTAGGACATCACTTGGGCTTTTGCTCTACCTGGGTTTTTTTTTTTACACAAATATTTTATTCCACATCCTCCCTCTCACATCATACATTGCAACATCCTGATGTTCGGGATGGCATTACCAGGGGCATCGACGGTAGCAAGCACGCCGGACTCATCAGAGCAGGTGGTGGGGGGAGAGATGCTCTACCTCTTTTTAAAGATTAGCGAGAAAATAAGAGCCTTTAAAATTAAAACGTCCCCCGCTTACACCATTAACATGGAATGTTCAATGTCATTGCCATTGTGTACAATGCATCACTTGTTGGTTGGGGAGTCCAACCAGCGCTTACTAGCATTATTAATTCAATCAGTCTTTTGTTGGCTAGAGATGATAATAATCATAACAGTAATTTATTATATATGGGATGTTGGCTACCAACAACAAGGCAACTCCTATGACTAATTGGGAATGGGACGCAAGCGTAGGATTGATCACCCTGTCGCTGGCCGCCTTTGGGGAGGGTGTATAGTATGAAAGGCCGAAACACCCTAGGAACCAAAGGGTCACTACTGACGATGCGCTCCCCAAATTTCACCAGGCTCACTGTTCATGAACTCTTGGAAGTGCTTGCACAAAGGATAGTAACATCTCATCCTGTGTTCTTTGGAATCTGAATTTAAAATTAAAACGTCCCCCGCTTACACCATTAACATGGAATGTTCAATGTCATTGCCATTGTGTACAATGCATCACTTGTTGGTTGGGGAGTCCAACCAGCGCTTACTAGCATTATTAATTCAATCAGTCTTTTGTTGGCTAGAGATGATAATAATCATAACAGTAATTTATTCAGGAAAGGCTTAGTTTGCAAAATGGTGATTAATAAAAGTAAATAATAACAGGGACAAGATGTTACGTAATGATGGCCTTTTTATTTACTCAGAAGAGCGTTTCACCGAGTCTTACATATTTTTCTGGAGGACACTGCATGGCATGCTGAGCCAATTCCACAAACGTTTGACGTCTGTGGCGGGGTGGGTGTTGGCACTCAAAGCCATGCACAGATGGATTTTAGGACGTGTTGCCGTCCTGATATCTCAGCCAAAGCCTACAACACTCGGTGTACCCCCGCATGGCTTCACCATCCGTGTACTTAAACAGGGTTCGCCCCTTGCTCGCGTTTCCGAGGTGTGTGACAAAATCCGGGGCGCGCGTGAGCGGTGCGCGTTGTCTAAAGTCCCTTAGCTGTGAGCGGGGTCACGGCTAAGGGATCAACACGACTACACGCCTGAGCAATGGAACCCAATAGGGGAAGTGGAAATGAAGCATAATTGGGCTTCAGGTCAGTTGTTGCGAGCATTTACTCAAGGGCACCACAATTTTGCTTATTAGTTTTTAAGTCAGGATTGGGCGGGTGAGCGTGGGGGGGGGGGCAGTAACTCAAGACCACATTGTTAGGTGCATAAGTTACATAGTTGTGCTTTGGGAATGCCTGTTGTTTAAAGTGACGAGCAGGTCTTGAACCAAATTACCTTTGGGGGCCCCCCCGTTCAGAAAGGAGTTTACCTCTTGGATACTTGTGTAAGATTATGCTTGTCGGGAGATGATCAGCTATTGCCCCGGGTAAAGAAGGAAGTAAGCGAAGCGAGGCTCGCAGGACGCGTGCAATGTTCCTCCGTCTCGGTTGGTTGCCGGGGGCGCTGGGCGGGGGACATCGGGGCAAGCCGCTCTCTCGTTGGCTGCCAAGTTTTGCCATCATTATGCCGTCATCGATGTCTTAATGTCCTGCGGTTGGCTAAAGTTGACCACTTTGGCACGGGGTCCGGAGGGCTTGTGGGACGTGAAAGCCAATGTCGAATTGAGCGTGCTCAGCCAATGAAAATAACCGCGCTCGTGTCGCTAAGCTCGAACGAATAGTTGCAGTTTGCGCCACGCCCTGTGTCACTGCCACCGCCACCCTACCCCACCAATTAACCACTCAGTTGATATTAATCCCAACATCCACACCTGCGAATGTTTTTTTACTGCCCTCCACCACGACCCTTCGCAACCGTCACACGTTACAAACGAACCCTCGTGTTAACGAACGTCCCGTTGGCACTTGTCGGTAGCCACGTCATTGCCACATGCACCGCGTCGATCCCTGCCTCGAATGATAATTTAGAGAGCGACAGTGGGGTCAGCCGCCCCCACCATCGCCCCTGTCTGGATCTCATCAGCGAGCAGTAATAAAGGCCAGACAACGGCAAAAAAAACATTAGCATCACATCCTGTTTGGTTATTGGAGTCGAGGCCCTTTGGATTGGAATCCCTAGATCACGCTGTTGTTGCCATGCGTGGGGCGATTTACAAACTGAATTTCTGAAATGCCTTTAATACCATGTCAAAATCCAGTTCTCTTCCCTGCAATGTGTGCTCTGCCGAAAAGGTTAGCCGTCTGCCAAGTAAAAACAAAAATAGGAACTGCAAAACCGGGTTTTTGTGTAATCGCCATTGGGGGTACCAGAAAACAGCCCAAGTTGATGGGTGCGCAAGTGACTTAGTGCTCACGGGACACTTTAAAATGTTTTGCGAAATATATTTCAAAATCGCACGTCTGTTGCACATTAGAGCCTCTGCCAAGCACGCCCGTGTTTGAAGCACCGGTGCCACGTTACGGATCATGTTCTAAAATGCCTACCTCCTACAGGCATTGCGCGTGGTTTAAATTTGGTCCACGATGAAAATTTGATGTCGCGTTTTGCGCGCGCAGGGCAGCAGCGGTGACCCGTGCACAAGCAGCGTCCACCCTCGCTGTGTAAATAATGTCACATCAGATATTGCGACGGCAGTGGGGGGGGGGGGGGGGAGGATTGTTTGGGTATCGGCCTGAAACCCAAGGGAATCGCTGGCAGCTCCCAAGTTGGCGTAAATACATGGGGACGGAAGTGGCAGATTATAATCACGCGCACAGGAAGCAGCTGCCCACATCGCTCGCCGCACCACCTCCCCGCCCTCCCCCACAAACCGCCACACCAACGCCTGCCCATGCCTACCCCGTCTGCTTCACCTCCTCCCAATCTGCTCCACCTCCTCCCAATCTGCTCCTTACTGCCCCCGCTTGCCCCTGACCTAGGTCCACCTCCCCGCACCGCAGCAGCTCCGTCCACCGCAGGACGGCTGTGGCGTGGGAAAAGCTTAGCATTGAAAGAGTGGATGCATCAATAGCTCAGAATAACATTAATATGCGTATAACTCCTGTGTGTGTGTGTGTGTACGGTATAACGAGTCACTTACAAATGTTGTACAATTAGAATCACTCATGGTATGGCTAGTGATTTAACTGGGTTGTTAAGTGAGTTGATGGTTTCAGCCCAGTCACCAATGACTGCAGCGAAATAAAACCCCCATTGCATTAAATGTGAAGTAATATGTAGGCTTTCACGACCAGTATTATGATGTTACATGGTCTAACCGAAATTGAACTGATTATGAATTATATTAACTTGAGTTTTTGCACTTTAGCCTGGCTATATTCCAGCTCTGAGAATAAAAGATGTTACATTTTACTCACGAGATGAACATTACACTCGGTAGCAGAGTGGGTGGGAAACAGCTGCCCCCTGCTGCGTAAAGTGGATACAGTCGGTCGCTCTCCAGTATCCACTTCAGTGGGCCGTTAATCTTACACGAAGAGTGGCACTGGATGCTTTGTCTCGTGACATGAGAAAGTTAACACAATTAGTGTACATTTGGGAACAATACAATCTATAGTGATATTATGAATAATTTGTATGAATTAAAATTTTTCGATTTCTCTTAATCAGAAAGTCTATGCATTTAAAGTAAGCATAAGCGTAGACTTCCATTGTTGAATCATTACATCTTAGGCTCGGAATATTTTCAATCTGGCACTCAGCAATAATAATCTCTTGGAATAATTTATACCTCTTTTGGGGCTGTTCACTTAATAAAAATCATTTAAAACCTTCACATTTTGCTGATTGACAGCCATCGCTTTTTTTGTTTGTTAACAATGCAATGTCAGGCAAGGTGACCGTTGCTGCATTTGCACAAATCTGGGAAATATATGGCTTGAAATGATCCGCTTTGCACTCCGGTAGGCGTGCGTGGCGAGGCGGGAATGGCTTATCTCTGAGGGTTTGGTCCTGATAAACACCTTGCCCTCTTTATGTGGAGCCAACCCCCCGGTGGAAATTGGCTGCGAAATTACACGGCTTCTGTTTTAAGTGATTGAGCAAAGGTTGGTAAAAGTTGTCAGTGAACAGATTAAAATTTAAAACTAGTTGAGACCGATAAAAAAAAAACTTCTGATTTTGCACCCTGTGCCCTGTGACACATGAGGAGGAGGGTCCTGATTCCAAACCAAGAGGCATTTTTTGCCTAATAATATTTCCGAGACTGAATAGAAAATACAATTTGCGCGGGACACCTGCGACGGACCTAGACGGACCTAGACGGACCTAGCACGCTTCGCACGTCTGCCACGGTGACTTTTATCGTCCTGTTTGTATGTTTTCGCTTACTTCACGTATCGGGTTTCCTTTCCACCCCTCCCCACACTCCCACCCACCCACACGCACGCCCCCACCCCCCCTACCACCACCACCGCTTAGCAGCATCAGAGAGCGGGAGGAAGGCGGGGAGGAGGCCGGGGAGGAGCGAGAAGCCGCGCCGTCCCGCCGACGCAAGACCGCCAATAGCCAGGGTCGCCGGAAAGGGCGAGTGACGCGCTCGACGGCCAATGAACAGAGTGGGGAGGAGTCTCCCGTGAGCAGCAGCGGCGGCGGTGGTGGTGGAGTCGTCCAGCCAGCAAGCGAGCTCAGCACCCAGTCAGGTACGGCTGCGCCGGCATGCATGGTTGTGTCGTCGTCGTCGACAGCAACAGCGTCGGCGGTAGCAGCAGGAGCGCACGCATGTGCTGATTCCCCCACTGCCCGCCGCCGGGGAGGGGGTGGGGGCGAGCTTCAGGCGGAGGAGGTAAACGTCGGGATGGCCGCGTGGGAGTGGGCGGAGGAGAGAGTAACGTTGAGCTGCGTGGTGGTGTTTCGTGCGGGGGGGGGGGATGAGTAATGTTTGCGTGAAGTCGGCCTGCGGGCTGCGGGTGGGGCGGCTGGGTCTCTGGAGGTTGCTCGAGCTGTTTGGCTTGGATGTTGACCTTGTTGTTAGGAGACCCGGTGTGTGCGCACGCCAGTTTTCTAACTGCGAATATAATGCGCGCTTAACTCGCCAGTGACCTCATCAGTTCAGCCTGCAGCATTGGTCGTGGCTGCAAAATCCTCTGACTCAAGATTTGTTCAATGTGCCCGCACAAATACAACCGTAACTGCCTCTCCTATTTCAGTTGTTGCTTGCGAGAATCCCGCACATTTTTATTTTGCATATATATTAATGCAATTCATTTGTATGGTATATATCTAAATAATGTGTTTGCTATGTATGTACGTATATGGTTTCTGAAATGGGATAATGCTTATGCCCTTGTCACACCAAAACTCACATTCGATTTTCAGTGTGGCATCCTCTGCTGACAGCGCACCTTTCCCGTGATTAGCCTCCAGAATTTCGACTTTAACATTGGACTATAACACCGTTTGCTATCTGCCACCTTAAGTTGAATATATTTACACTATGGGGACCTCATTTGCCAGTAATCTGGTCCAACCCATATGAGACTAGGCTCGAAGGAAAGCTGTCTCGGGTGTGGACCAATCAACTTCAAGGACAGTGCACATTATCAGAGTTATGTCTTTTGTTTGTATTTATGACTGCAGGTATTGCGGTCTATGCAAACATGACTCCTTGCAAAAAGGTGTCAGTTTTGTTGCCAGATAGAAGGGTAAAGAACCAATTATCATTGAATATATTTGATTTAAAAAAATTGAAAAAAAAACAGAAAAAGAAACCAACTTTCAAGCAGACGCAGAAGTTAAAGTTACAATGTAAAGTTCGCGAATGCCACATCTCAGAATTAATTGAGGAACGAGTCTCTCGCGTTTGTGACCGCCTCAACTTTTCTACCATTTCGCTTGTATGTACACACACGCGTGTGTGTACACGCGTGTGTGTACACACAAGTGTGTGTACTTGTGTGTGTACACATGCGGGGGGGGTGTCGTGGCAAACAGAGTTCAGTTCCTGCTCGTGGCTAGCACCAGTGACAATTATTTTAAGCAGTCCTGGGCCTCCTGTAGGTCCAACTCAGCCTCAAATGAGTAGCTAGTGTGGTGTGTATAACAACACCATTGGGGGAGACCTAGGTAATCGGGTGTGGTCCTGGCCACCCACCCCCTCGTTTACTGTGCCGGCCTTCGTAGGTGCTCAATAACAGTAATTACCCCAAAAGTCTGTGAATGCTATACATTTGTCTTTATACACGTGTGTGTATGTGTGTGGTCATGTTTGGGGAGCAGCTGAGGATTGGTTAGCGTACTGCGCTCCGTAGCCGGCAGCACGAGGTTGATTCTTGCTCGCGGCTAACATCAATGACGTTTATCCGGGCTGCTCTTGGGCCACCCCAAGCTCGACTAAGCCTTAAATGAGTACTTGGTGCGGTTTGTAAATATCCTTGGGGAGACAAAGGTGGCCAAGCATGGTGCTGGCCATACCATCCCGTCTTGCGCAGCTGAGCTCGCCTTCATAGCTACTTGCTTGACAGCACTTGCCCCAACAGCCTGTGTTGGCTTCGCGGCAGAGGATCTTTGCCTTTGGCCAGGGTAGGGCGGCATAATAAATCTGTCCTTGTAAACCAGTGAGTTATTTTCACCACGAGGGGTGCGGCGAGCACTTCCCTTGCACCCCCCCCCCCTTTCCGTTGTTTGGGGTTGTGTGGACTTTTGGACTCGGATGATGTTGGGCAGCAGGTGCCCGCCTGGCAGCAGGCCCCGCGCGCGCTTTTTGCCGTTCGTCGCTGTCGTCGGGCAGACGTGAGCACCAAGTGGGCATGGGGCCAGCTGGGGCGAGGCTACGGCGATGTTGCGTTACGCAAGCCTGCGGTGTGTTTACCGTGAAAAGCGGACACATAAACGACAGGGCAAACGGTTGTCTAGGACGAACTGTTGATTTTCCCTTCACCACCACCACGCCGCCCCCCTTCCCCATGCCTATTCCAGACCCAGCCGCCCACTCCTCCACCCCTTTATTGTCTAATATCAATGTTGTGTTGTGGTTGGCCCAGCATTAATACCGACATTCTGAGAAACGCTTGGGTTTATTTGTTTAGAGCTGGTTCTATGCCAGGTGAATGTAATTGAAATAATACATTAACTTGTTTTGAGTCCTTTGGGTTAAATTGTACCTATTGTCAAATGTAAACACTGGCATGCATTTAAGCTGCATGCACCATAGCACCGCTGGCACCAGTCCACTTTTTATTTGACAGGGATCATAAAAAATGTTTCACCACGTGTAACAAGTGTGCGGTATATATATGTGTGTGTGTACGAAGCGCGCATTCTTTTTCTTCTTTCCGCTCGCTCATGGGTTCATAATGGCCCGCACGGACAGTGCTTTTACCCCGGCTTGATGAGTGCACAGCCTTGAAACGTCGTGGAGGGGTTACGTTGGCGTAAAGCGGAGCACGTGGGCTGCGGTTGGCCCTTTCCCGACAGAATCGTGGGGGAAGGGGAGGGGTTTAAGCGTTTCTGCCAGTGCGATACCACACGAGCCCTGCTCGGTTTCTCAGAACTGAAATTCTGGAGCAGGAAGTGTCCGGCGTTAATCATTCGCGCGTCTCTCTCCCTCCTGCCCCTGCCCTCCCTCTCCATCCCTAGCTGCTGTCTCGGAAGCTGCAGAAGTTTGCCGTTGGACTGAAGAAGAGATGGAAGTTGCCAAAAAAGGTATTAAATTAACTACGTGCGCCACCCTTTCTCTTTGTGATTAGATAATAATGGGGTCGCCTCGGTCAGGGTTGATGGTCTGAGAGAGGAGCGCTACTCTCGGGGGGTGGGGTTGGTGGGGGAGGTGGGGCGCACGGACGCTGAAACGTGTCCGTAAAAGACAATCGTGCGTCTGGCTCGCGTGACGCTTTATGAAGACGTAAAAATCAAACAGCGCCGCTTTGTGGGGTTTTGACAGGTTTTGGCTGCGAGGGAGGTCGGCCCTGTGACTTCTAACACCTGCGCTAAAAGCCCCTTACACACTGATTGTGCCATCAGGTGTGTTCATTCGTTGGGGCCTCGGTGACAGCTTAAGTGGATGTAGGGGGGCGCTGGGGGCGGTGATTTGTAAAGCAGTGGTCAATTCTGGAACAGTTTTTCGTCAGCTTCTGATTTACAATACAGTTCAAGTTTACATTGTGTCGAAATGCAAATTCATTTCCTGGCACTGTACAAAGCCGTGGGGACTGCATCATGAGAAAAAATGTTGTATATATATATTTTTGTTTTAAAGGATGTATGAATGTATGTTGAACTTCTTTCGCAGGCAGAGGAGAGAACAGTTCGGGTCTTAAGCTTGGACTTGATTAGGGCCAGGGAATTTTCAAGTGCCAATGACTCTTTGACAGCAGAAAGTGCGTGGAGGGGAGAAGTGTGCATGGAGAGGGGGCAGGTGGGCAGGGGTGAATCCTCGAAGGATCTTGGAGTTTATCGGGGATTAGACTCGGAATAAGTGGAAGTGTTGGGGTGATGTGGTCACATATATGGGTAAGGGCGAGGAGTGTGGGGGGAGCAGTGGTGTAGCAGTTAGCGTGCGCGCTGTGCTACGAATCCGGCAACCCGTGTTCGATTACCACTCACGGCCACCAGCACCGGTGACGATGATATGAACCGGTCTTGGGCCTCCCCTAGGTCGATTCAGCCTCAAATAAGTACTTGGTTCGGTGTCTAAACATTTCCACGAGGGAGACAAAGGTGGCCAGGTGTGGTGCTGGCCCCTCACCCACCCTGTCATGTGCCGTTCCGGCCTTAATAGGTGCTCGCAAACAGCACTTGCCCCAACAGTCTGTTAAGGCTTTGTGGGGGATATTTGCTTTTGGAGTTTCTAAGTCAGGGACTTGGGGGAGAGAGTTGCACTGTGATGTGATGGATGCATAAATGAGGGTGTCAGCATCATCTGGGGTGAGGGAGCGGCAGATGCGCGGGAGACGTTACGCTAGTGGAGGTACGAGGCCCTGTAGAATAGAGCGCTGTGATAAAATAATGAGAGCTCGCGATCAATGACAACTCCAAGGTTACACACACTCTTTGCCACGCTCGACTTAACCTGATCACTGAGGCCATGGTCTCACCCCCGTAATCACTTTAATCTCTTGAGCTGTCGGTTATAACGTTTTTTCCAGCTGGTTCACTGTGTTTGCGATAAAGCGTTTTACGTAACTGTTGTAGGGTTAGCGTCTTTGTTAAATAGAAAAAAAACTAAAACCACCCTTTGCTTAAGAATTAGGACTGCGGGGGGAACCATTCAGAGAGCCTTGCTTGAATGCACATTGTGGCTGGCGTGGGGGGGGGCTGTACATGTCACGCGCTGTCTTTTATTGCAGGTTTTTTCGGTGTGTTGTGAAAATGTCTGACATTTACTCTGTAATTGCAGTTTATGTAGTCAAATCAAGATGAGTTTTAACGTCCGGCAAGCCCACGGCGCATTTATTGCACTTGCAGTATTTGACTGGCAGAGCTTATAAATGGAAGCTCTATGTCTGTGTGTGTGCCGTGTGTAATTATACGATGCTTGTGCAACGTTTATTCCCACTTTAGTGCTGTTTTTTTCTCTTTCCCTCCGCTTGAAGTGCTGACGTGAATGAACGCATCTGGCCCCCTGTACTTAAATTGCCCAACGAACAAAAATTAATTTGCGGGGAGCTTCCTTCATTGTTCTCACAGGCAGGATGATTCTTTGCCAATATGGGGACGGGTCAGGGTTTAGGGCTTTGGCATAGACAGTTTTTATTTTTGGAAACTTTTAAGTCAATGTTTTCCAATGAAGGTCGCATTTTTGTTAACTATAATTGTGCCAAAAAAACCGTCTGCCGCCGGAATGCACGTGCGGATCGATCTGTGGTTGGTGGCATAAGTCGACTGTGGTCCTGCTGCTGTTGCTGATCCCTTCGTTGCCTGTTCAGCAAGACAAGCCTCATTTGTAACCGCTCGTGCCTCCAAATGTCAACAATGTGCTGCACCATACTGTTGACTTTGTGTAGGCTATAAATGGGAAGGATAGGGGTGGTATTCTTATCATCTGGCCTCCCGAGAGGGTCCAAGTTCCCTAGGTGTTGCAAAGTTCACAGAGGCAAAATAAAGGAGGAAAATGGGCCCTATTTGTCAGTTAGTGTTTACTGCTGACTGTGCCTAAAAGGCCTGTATGGCTCAGTACACATGGACGACGAGCTGGTGTACAACTGGTCATTACAAGGGGAGCTTTGGAGTACTTAATCATTCGTGAAGGCCTTCATTAGCGCCCAGTGTTAGCGTTGAACCGATGTTTGCTTTCAATTGGGTCAACAGATTGCTAGAGTGGTGATTGGAATTTTTTCTCACATTGCAATCTCTGATGACTGCTAACAATGTAGGTTTTCTCTCCCTGTTGTAGACTGCACATCATGTCGGTTCTTATTGTTGCTGGTAGCGTTTCCCCCCTCCCCCCAATTCCGTGGACGCCACCCGGTATTTTGTAGCGCGCATCGTAAACTCATGATTGCCATTTTCCTTCTCCCTACCATTGCCTTTCGGTGTCGTGAAAAGTCTCCGAAGCCTGCAACGTTTCCTCCGACTCGATTTGTCCACAACGCACCCTCCAGTTGGGGTAGCCGTGTGTGTGCATGTTGCGTGTGTCATCTGGACAAGGTTTTTTTTTGCCAACGTCGTTGTGCGCGCGGTGTCGGCCGGGCAGGGCTGCTGGAGCATGGACGCAGCTGGCCCGCAATCGCGCGCATGGTCGGCACCAAGACGGAAGCGCAGTGCAAGAACTTTTACTTCAACAACAAGCGGAGATACAACCTGGACGACTTGGTTGAGCAGCACCGCTTGCAGACGGTAACTGCACTCTCGACTTTGGCGCGGCCTGCAATTTTGAAAGCGAAATTATATTTTCTTGCTCGGGAACAAGCTGTTATTCTTTGATGAGCGAGCGGGGGGGGGGGGGGAAGTGTGGGTTTGATAGAAGGAGCAGCCGAAATGTCACCTTGGCCACGAGTGTCCTGCTGGGAGTTGAGAGTGGGAAGCTTTGGCACGGTGGGTGGTTGGGGCGGTTTTAACGGGTGCTGCTTGGCTGAACTTCTACACCGCTTCGCCCGCCCTAAGTGCTTCTCGATATTAAAACTGAAAAGCAAAGGGGACACGTAACGCATTTTGCAGAGTGCACATCCACCCGCTGCCACCGCCTGCCGCCGCCGCCCACGCGGGCAATTACTCCGCCACGAACAGTGGAAATTGTCCAATTCCGAAGGAAATTATTTCGAAGAATTTTTTTCGCGCAAAGCAGGAATAATAAATGCGTCCAAGCTTCTTATGCCCGCCCGCCCGCTCGCACCCTTTTGTTGGCTGTGCGGTTTGTGTGTGCACGCGTTGTCTGTCCAGTGGTCTAACCGCCCCCACCGTCCCACCGCGTGTGTTTTTTGTCGGCGGCGCCAGTCGGACGGGTCCCAGGATCGCGAGGCGTCGTGCGTGGGAGGCGAGAGTGGCTCCTCCAGCACCTCCGGGGCTCACGAGCAGGAGCACGACGGCGAGAGCGATGGTAACGGCTTCCCGCCGAACGGCACGCAGGGAAAAAGGAAACTCGGGGCGGCCGTTTGCCCGTTTAGCCACCGCGGTTTAGCGTCACGCCGCCACATCTTTAGGTCATTTGTTCAAAACCAAATTCATTAAAAAAAAATGTACGTTTTATTATACCAGGTAAGGCCCCACTCAGCTATATAGCTCTTTTTCAGAAGCGACCGGGCCACAAATGGTAGCTCAACGAAGTGGCTTATCATGTGGAAATTTACAGCAGCAACCAAATACTGTAAATGTACTTTGGTTCTAAATGTGGAGGGTGAAACCGGAGGACCCGGAGAAAAATCCATGAGATCACGGTGAGAGAGACAAACTTGAAATATGTAGGTGTCGGGGAAGGGATCTCCAGGAAAACCAGGCGAGGTAGTTAACATCTTACCACAGTGGCGCATTAAATCCCCTCCACCTCTGTGCACCCAGCAGTTTTATAAATCGTGGCACCACAGTCTTGACGGATCGCCAGGTCGTGTGTGGTGTTTAGATGAAGTGTGGGGTATTTCCCACGTCTTCACAGACACCTGGCCAGCGTGATTCAGTGCCCTCGAGTTTGCCCTTGTGCCAGATTTGGCTTGTGAGCAAAACTGTGCAGGGCTGCGCATTTACCTTTTACCTGGTCGCGACATTACGTTCCTTTTGTGAGACTGCACGCGATGTTAGGTGTCTTGTGCGTGACAGCTTCTTGCATTCCTCGCCTGAAACGAAATCAACCCGTGCGACTCCAGTACCAACAACACACACACGGACGCATTAGAATTGTACAGAAAAATGTGAAAGGCTCCGCAAACTGTGGAAAGAGGTTTAACGTTTTTATTTGCTTTTTTTCTCGTCAGGCGCCGGCAACCAGAGCTCGGACACTGAGAGCGCTCCGTCGCCACGACCTCCTGGCGGCGGCTCCGCCAAACCCACTTCTCAAGCCGGCCTGTCGGCGGAATGGGCCCCTGGCGCTGCGACCCCGGGCGACGTGCCGTCTCTGGCCGTGAAGTCGGAGAAGGACGGCACCGGCGAGGACGTGGGACCTCGCGACGAGCGCCGCCGTGTCAAGGTGGAGGAGGAGGAGGACAATGATGAGGAGGAGGAGCCCGGGGAAGGTGGTGGCGACGCCAAGAAAGACGCTTCCAAAGAGGCGGTGCTGGCGGCGGCGGCGGCGGGGCACCGCGAGGGAGAGGTGAAGCCCGAGGGCAGCGCCCGGGCCGAGCGCAAGAAGGGCGAGCGCAGGAGAGGCCGCGACAGGGACAGGCAGAGGGGGGCCGAGGGCGCCTCGGAGGACGATTCCAGCGCCACCTGCAGCGCCGACGAGATGGATGTCGATGGCGACGAGTCGAGGTGCGGCAGATTCACCACCGAGGAATACGCGACTGTGGGACTAGAGCTCTTAAGAGATGTGACGTAACCGAGTACGTTATTAACCAGCCCGAGATCCGCGATTATTTAGGACGGCCTACTTGCCTGTACGTAAACAAGTAAGCGATACGTTAATTTGGGAAATCATTGTTTTTAAAATAATATTTTCCAACTAAAGTTAAAGGCTTTTATGCATTATTGGCTTTCTCTGTGTAATGCAAGGGCCATGATGACTCTTTAAAGTGTTCCAATATTAACGAAATTTTCATATAAAATGAAGCGCTCCTTTTAGAAAGTTACCCCATTGAAATCTGACCTTATTGACCAAAGCGTTGTCCAAAAGTTGGGGGAAACAAACCAGCACAAAAAAGGATTCGTTGCAAATATGCAAACGTGCTTTGCCCTGACGGTTTACCCGTCTTATGCCGTGCTGCAAGCTAAATAATGAACTATTTCTTTCCGAAGACATCCGCGTGACAAGAACGCGTTGTGCAAGTCGTGATCTTATGTATGATGGAGATTTATTTTTCCCTCCCAACTTTTGTTATTGCAACGTTTCATGTTCTTGTACGCAGGGATAATTGTTTGTCCTGGAAATATGGGGAGGCGTTCATCCAGCAGTGGATTGATTAAGGGCTTAAATAATAACAAACTTATGAATTGATTGCAATCTTTGGGCCGAAAAATCTATTGTACGGGTGTTCAGGGAAGTCCAGTTGCGCGGTACGTAGCAGGCACATTATGACACGTGTACAAACATTTTAGCATCTACAACCTCATACGTTTATCCAATTTTAATTACATCTCCATGGCGTCAAGAACAGGAAGAATACGCAGGACGGGTAGCGAATGCTCAGTCACGAGTGTAAGCAAATGGTGCGCGTTGTGCCGGTTCGTATTGAGAACGGTCGATATTTGTGGTGAAAATGAAACGAGTTGTTTGGTGATTCTGCGTTGAGCAGAGTGGGGTGCACAAGCATGAATAACAAAACGAATGAAAACTCCACATTCATGGCCTTAAAGGGGGAAAAATATATATATTTAAGAAGGCAACGTTTTGGGCTGTGGCCCGCCCCCTTGGAAGCACATAAATAGAGAGGCCGGAGAGGTGGTGGACAAACAGTTGGAGACTGAAATTGTACACCCTGGGGCCTGATGAGATTTTAATTAAATTAGTGTTCTTCTCTTGACCAGCTTTTAAATTGACATACGAGTAGCTATTTAATGTATTAAATCATCTAAATATACATATGCCAAAAAAAAAGCGGCAACCGGCTTTATTTCTTTATCATCAAGCCCCATGGTGTAAAATGCAGTCCCGAACCCTAATCTCACTCTCTCTCTGGCTGTTCTGGAAGGGCCTTCGCCCGAAACGTCACGCGAAAAAATATTTTTTAGTTTCTTGTTCAGGCCATAGCGTTCATGACGAATGCGTTTGTGTTTTGTTATTTGCGCCGACATAAGGCACAGCGCATCACCGACTGAGAGTCGTCGTGGTTGTGCTCGAATCCGCTGTTTAGTTTGAGCACCGCCGCTTGGCTGCTGTCTAAACGAAAGTCAATTATGCACAAATAAGTCAAAGGCACTTTTACAACCCAAGCGATAATGAAATGTGCAAAATCTCTTTTTAAAAACTAATAGATATAACAGCGTTAATAGATCCTTGAGTGCATGATTAATCACTGGCTTAACTGCTGGTAGTAATTAATAGCTGTTTCATCAAATGGGAACATGAGCATAATCAGCTCAAGAAGGCATAACATTATTTCATTTTGGGAACTACAGGAAAAGCATTGCTAAATAATTTTGATATTTTATTTTTCGGTTGATTTCTTTCATCAAAACAGACGTCGTATGGCACTTGAAGACAGAATGTATTTTCTTCACATGAACTTTGGTTATTTAATCCCTTGTAGATTTCAGCGCAGCTGAATTTCAGAGGGTTTTTCTTCCCTTCATGTAAAGCAGACCAACCCAATAGAGAACGTGCGGCTTCCGTGATGAACTCTTCTCTGTGTGTGTGTGTGTCTGCTGAGTACTGATCACTCGCGTTTCTCGTATCATTGTGGCATCTCCACGCAGTAGAATAGTAATTGTCCGTATTGCTGACAGGTATCCTGAGCCTTTCATTATTTTTTTTACTTTTATTAAAAGTGACCTCGACCGGTACAATAAGCTGCGCGTTTGCACACGGGGAACAGAGTGTTCTTGCCTCGGCGTCTCATTAAACGAGTCGGCACGAGTAGGCGTTGGAGCGAGCGTGCTCGCGCATACGCATGCGCACGCAAGCGTGTGTGCCGCGCGCTGTTGAATTTAATTTTCTCTAATTTGTTGCTCTGAGCGCCGGCACATTCGGCAAAACGCCTCTCCCGCCATCGCCACAGCCGGACCCGTTGACTTCCTCGCACACTCTGCAATGTCCCCCCCCCCCCGCTCGTAAGAGCATGGTATTATTGCGCCGCAGTAGCGTTGCGCAAACACTTGTCATTGCCACGCGCGATGACCTGCGTGGTCGGTCGATAGGTCGGACAGTCAGTCATTTGTGATGGTAGGTCCAGTTAATGTTTGAATGACATCATCGGTGAAGCGGGGGGGGGGGGGGGAATGAATGACAAGCCGACATGCCAGTCAATTAAGTGAGGATCCAGCCCATATGTCGACGCCGATACAAAACCAAATGGTCAAAGTGCGTCGTTTGTTTGTGTTACTCCTTAATGGAATTTGGAGTGGAGCTTCTATTGACGTGTGTGGCTGGCTCGCTGTAAAGCTCTCTCCTACCTCTACAATGGCCCTACGTGAAGTGTTATACATTTATTGCCGTGCCATTGGCCGATCGTACGGAGTGGCTTTTTTGCCGTTGGCCAATCGGAGAACGCTCGGATCAAATTTGTATTCTGCTTGAGGTTGGAATTGTATACTTGTTGGCGTGCAGAAAGACATCGACTGAGGATGTAACGATTCAACTCCTTCCTCGATTTGACAAATTGCCGCGAAATCCAATCACAAAGAATAATTGGTGAATAAGAAATATTTGATTTTTAATGCACTACTAAATATGTGTTTTGAGAGTCGAATAAATAGATCTAAATCGTCCGAACCCTGCCAGTCATTACATAAAAGGCAGATAGACGGAGCAAGAGTGAAAGTGTTATCTTTCAAAGAGCGGCTTAACAAATGTTTGTCCTACCTCCCCCATGCCCCCCCTCCTCCCCCCCTATTCTTCCCCCCTCCCCTCTTCTCCCACCGATTCTCGTCGTTCAGGCAAAGGCTGCTTGGCCCCAGCGCGAAGTCCGGCGTTGCGTCGCCGAATAAATCGGCGTTGAGCGGAGTGGGCGGCGTGGCGCAGGACCTGCAGCACATGGTGCAGAGAGCGGCGGAGATCCCGGCCATGGTAATAGATCGCACGCGGCGGCGGCTGCTGCAGCCGCGCAGCTCGCTGTGCTGGCCCACCCCACAGGGTGCCGCGGTGGCCAGGAGTTGTTAACCTCACCCGGTATACAGGAGGTCGTGAGTTCGTTACCGACCCTGACACCTGTATATTTTGAGTTTTAGGAACATGCGTTTAGAGTAGAAATTTCCACACAATATGCCACTTTTGTTGGGCTGTCATTTGTGTCCAGAAAAAGAGCTATCCAGCTCAGTGGGCCTTACCTGGGAAAATAAAAATTGTTTATTGTTTACTGTGGAACCGGATGTGTGACTTTTTAATTGGCATTACATTTTTAGGGAGTCACGATTTTATAACAGAATTGGCTCCGTTATTTATCTTGTTCATAATGTCTCATCCCATACCGTCCGTCTTGTTGTACTGTGTGTTTGCTGTCTCTGTCGTCTGTACGTGCCGTGGTTTTTTGTGCCATCTGATCGAATTGGGGGATCATCTGGTACTGTGTGTGCTGTGCTGTCTCTCGTCTGTACTTCTGTCTCATTTGTACCATCCGCGTGATCTCTGCACACTGTCTCGTGTGTAACGCTGTCTTGTCTGTACCATCTGTATTTACTGTCATCGCCATCTCCTTGGCACTCATTCATTTGTATTGAAAAATGCTCGATATAGAACGACTTGGCGTGGAGCGGTTAGCAAATCACATAACAAATCTCGGCCGGCTGCCGAGCCACCCAGGGACAGCATTGGCAAAGCAGCGGGTGGTAGAGCCTGGCCCTGGCTTTCTCCCGAGTCCTCTCAGCCTTAATCGAGTACCTGGCGAGGCGCTGTGTGAAAATCGGCACGTCGCAAAGGCGGCTGGGCTCGGGTCACGCGCTGTGGCCTCTTCGTAAAAAGTGCTCGCTGTAGAATCACTTGCCTTTTCGGGTCAATGAATTTGTGTTTTTGTGTGTGCGGTATTGTTTAATTATTTTGTTAAAGTTTAGCCACTTCTCCAATTCGTCATTCTTTGTGTTGTGAGTAATGGATCTGTTACTCAAACGGGTTCCCGGACAGCATTGCAAATGTTTCAAAATCTCTCTGGAAAGGGATCCAAATCAATGTGGTAACCGGTGATGTGCGTTGACATGATCGGCAGCGACTTTAATTCTAATGTTTCAAAATCTCAATGGTGGTAAGGCGTCGCATTCATCGTCATCTTCATCATCATCAGCTATGATCCCCTTGCCGTGGCCGGCTCTCACGGTCTTGCGATGCAGAAATCCATCCGGCTGCTTGCACAACGAGTTGATTCCACCGCTACTGTGTCCATTGTCGATGCCCTCTCAGGCGCTTTTCCCTCTTTGAAGCTGCAACTGTCACGAGTCTTAAGTACGGTATCATGGTATTGGCGGTGGAATCCAGCAGCCGCCACGATTAATACTGACGGTGTAAATAACCGTAATAATACTTCGGCACGCCGTTTGTTTCACTCACAGTGGACCTTAAAGATCATCCGATGTCTTTTCGCAAGATTAGGGAGTTGGCCATTGTTGTGCTGGTGTGTGGAGTTCAAATCTGCATAATTCGAAAATTACACCACGAATTACTCAATTGAGATTATAAATCGCAATCGTTACCCCCGACTGGTAGACTAATGCCCAAGGTTATCTTGCTAACAAGACGATCCTCATCTCTTCAGTTGCTCATCTGGTTTAACAAAATCATTTTAAAACGCGCATCTTTACCACCAGACATCATCCCTGCACGCAACCTACCCTGCCTAAGCCTACTTTACCTAACCTTAATAATGTCTTCTTGGTTCTTTCGGTAAAGTCACGTAGAATTGAAATAATAAAGTAATAAAAATAAAACATAATAAAATAATTCTCACAACGTTTCGGCCACCACGAAAGAACCAAGAAGATGAATCCCTGCAGTTACGAAAGCTTTAAATCGAAACTTAATAATGTCCCCAATGCGAGAGTTTCTCTTCCCGTCTCTCCGCGTAATTCCCTTTTCTGCCTCTGTGCACTTCCTCTTCCTATCTCTCCGCGTAATTCCAAGCGTGCACGTGTCGCGCGCGCATGTGCGCTTGTTTCTCCGGGTACTCTGGCTTTACTCCCTGCACGAAGCCAAGCACTTGCCCGTGGGATTCGACACATTTCCCCAATGCAGGAGCCTCGTCAAAAGCGAGTCTTTAGAATCGGTGAGAACATTGGTGGGGAATTAATAATCTTGTACGAGGTGCGCGCGCCTCCTGTAAATGTAAGCGTTTCCGCCGGACGGTAAATTTTTGCTCGCCTCAAAACGAGTGCCCTTGGGGCACTGTTGAGCAACATGCCCATTGATTGCACTCTGTTAAAAAAACGGTCCAGCCGAAAGGCAGATTGGTGTGCTACGGAGTTCAGACTCATAAAGAACATCTGTTTGGCTTATGTGCATAAAAGCCGGGCTATCTGTGTCTCCGGTGGGAACAAACAAAACGCACAATGGAGCCTCGCGAGTGGGAGATCAGGTATCCCGCTGTTTACTACCACCCTACATATGAGTTAAAAAAAAATAATACTGCTTCAAATCAAGATTAATACTGATTCTTTTACAGCGTGCCTCTCCTTCCGAACAGGGTTGGAAAATGTAAGACGGTTGTTCCTTTAAGATTCTCTATAAGTTTCGAAAGTTACATTATTTACGGCCATGGTGGGACTCGGGGTGCTGTAAGAGGGCTGGCTGCCACTTGAGTTCAAATAACAACCGGTGTCACATGGGCTCAAAATCATCATCTCTTGTGCTCATCGTGTATTGCCCAATGAGCACCTTTCATTATGAGGTCAGCAGTGGTTCTGCAATGGGCAGATTATCCTCCTGTCATAGGAATGTGGAATTCTGCAAGGAACTCCAGCTTGCCAAATACAGAGGAGCGCTGACAAACCCTCGTTTGGGCATTCAGGCCTTTTCTTTTAGATTGTTAATCATGAATTACTTATTGTGATTAAACAAAACAATTCGACATTGTGTAAGAACCTGAATTTGATTTAATTGCCTCTCGGCACGTTGAACCATCCGAGTTCCTGAACCCAAGACGAGATGTTTCGCTAGACGGTACCACCTGTGAGGTGGAAACACTTTAGCGGTTCCTATTTCTACTTGGCCAGCAACAATGAATGATGATATAACCATTTGAAATTAGTGGTTTGTCAAAGAATTCAGTTCCGGCTCATGGACTACCCGGAGAAAAACTATTTTATTCAGGCGCTGAAGTGAGGCATCCAGGGCACCCCCCCGTACCAAGAGACCCCTTCTCTTTCCGCACACTTTGAGCCACGGATAAGTTTAGTTGGGTTTACGTGAATTCAGCTGAAGTCACTCGTCACGTCGGATATTTTCTTTTGCTTGTCCCAAGCTGGTCACGAGCGTTTTGCATTTTTTTTTTTCTTCGACAGCTCCCGATATCGTACCTGCCCGGAGCAATGGGGGCAGGCGGCAGCCAGGATGCTTGGGCGCTGTACCAGCAGAAAATTATCAACGAATACAAAGGTGAGATGTGCGCCCCATCCCCTCGAAAAAAACCCAGTGTGTATGGTGTTGGATCCTTTGGTGGATGATTAATACATAACGAGCTGTCTGGTAGGAGGCCGTTTAGCAAGTAACATTCTCTAACTGGCAGGACTATATATATATAAACATAGTTTCCGCTCGTTCGTGTGGATTTCCCTTGGGTACTCTGTTTTCCTCTTACCCGCAAAAAAATATATATTGCAAAAATGTATATCAGCCAGACTTCCCACCCTCTTAACGGTTGCTTTGGTAAAAAAAAGTAAAATAATAAATTGTTATCACAAATGAACAAGGAGGGAACGTTAGAAAAATAACACGCGGTGTTCACTTTCGCCGGTGACGCTAGCCAGCCTTCATCTCTCCTCCCCCCCCCCACCTCGTCGATGGCCGTGCCCTGTTCTGCCGTTGTAATGTGGTGATTTTTATCGTGCCACGTTGGTTTTATTTACGCCGTCGCCCTGGTTACCGGCACAGAAACGAGATTAGCAGGTGCGTGCGGCCAGCCGTCCTCTTGCGGTGTCGTCTAAAAAAAATGTTTCCTCCGTTTCATCCCCCAGATCCGAGCAAAGCGGGACCCAAGGACCTCACGAAACCCAGCCCTCAGGCGTCGTCGCCGCACATCCCGCATTCCAGCGTCCCACCAGGTGAGATCGCGGCCAGTTTTATGCATCTCCTCAAAGTAACAGTACGCGTTCGTCGTAGCAGACGGTGCCTTGGCGACTTTTTTGTTTATTTAATGCCAACTTTAAATATAGGCTTAATCGTCTAATGCAATTCGCCGAACGTGACGATGAATCAAAACGGTCGCAAAGCGGCATGCTGCTCGGTTGTAACGAGATCTGCGCTTTCACGTAAACCTCTAGAGAAGGGCTCCGTGAAAGCAAAATTTTTGTGTTGCTTGGATACCGACAAGAGGTCTTGTTTGATTTGTAAGCGTTTTGCATCGAGGCGTTGAAGCAATTTGCTACGACGGTCGTTTGAGAATTAATGGTGAATGAAAATGTATTACTTTGCAAAAATGGTGATCAATAACGGGAATGCATAATATAAATAATAAAGTAATAAAAAAAAATTCTTACGTAATTTTCCCCGTTATTTACTCGGAAAAGCCTCATCGAGTCTGAAGATTCGTAGGGGGAAATTTGGGTGAGGAAATTTGGCCAATTCCCTTTTTCGTGTTTGGCTTTGTGTGGGAGAAAACCCGAGTAACCCTGAGGATAACCCACACGAATGAGGTGGCAACTCACCCCACATCTGCACAGTTAGATCTTACGAAATCCATTTCTGTAAAAACCTTGGTATTCCCAGATGGTTGCCCATCATAGTCCCAACCAGGCCCAGTCTTTGCTGAGCTTTCAAGATCTGACGAAATTGACTACGTTGGCGGGACTTTGTGGTTTGTGCACGTGGTTGTGCGTGTGCTTGTGTCAACGTTCTCATGTGTATGTGCGTGCGTGTTTGCGGGAGGAAGTGAGGCTTTGGTGGTTATCGCTGCAAATTCGTTCGCCCTCACTGTAATTTCTGGCCGCAGTAACCCAACACCGTAGTAGTCGGCCTTTTGCCACCTTGAACTGGGCCTGGTCTTTCTCGACATCGGCTACATAGATTGCGTAGACTAAAAAGATTTGCCTACTGCTGAAGTGGTCATCATCTCCACGGCATTACTAAAACGTTGGGGTGTGTAAGTAGCACGTTTTTAATTCTGCCCACTTATTTTATTGTAACTGTGGGATTCTGCTGCCATGTCATAATAGTCTGCACTCTGGCACAGCAATTGTTATGATGGGCAAAAATGATAATTGATGCTTATGGCGGTACCCCGGGGTTCCAAATAATACAAAATGGCTGAGGCAATTAAATATTTTATTTCAGGGGTACTTTTTTTCCCAGGGGTGTACTTAACTCCGCGACTGGGGTACCAATCAATCCGAAATCGGTGCTACTCCGCGATGTCGAAACGCAGCGAAGACGATTACGCTGAAACCCTGAACGCTCGTACGCACCGTAGTGGTGCATCGTGTCCAGCTCGTCGAGACGAGTCGATTGCCGCATCGCCGACCATCAACAGACTAAAATTGACTATCACGGACATTATGCGAGAGCCGGGGTACCGCCATAAGGTTCAATCTACATAAACCTTTGTCAATCCACTGTTTGGCCATACCTCACCATGTTGGTAAGTGAAGGGGGGGGGGGGCTTCAGGACTGTGTGGAATCGAACTCGGGTCACCGGGTTCACATCGCGGTGCACCAACCACTGCGCCACCGATCCACGGTCCCGTCAGGACACTAATGACCGGTATGATCTTCTTGGTTCTTTCGGTAAAGTCACGTAGAAGGGAGATAATAAAATAATAAAAATAAAACATTAAATAATACAATTCTCACGACGTTTCGGCCACAACGCAAGCAGCCGTCCTCAGGTGAAGAACAGGTTTGTCGGAAAGACAGCGTCCGTGACTTTACCGAAAGAACCAAGAAGATGAATCCCTGCAGTCACGAAAGCTTCAAATCGAAATTTGACCGGTATGATGTCTGCGCATGTGCGTAGGGTTGCAGCCGGTGCCTCAGCAGGCGTCGCCAACCGGCATGGAGCCTCCGAGACCCACGCTGTGGAGGCCTCCCCGTGCCTCCAACATCCCCTCGCCGCCCCCGCTCATCCCCTCGTCCAAGCCGCACGGTGTGGCCGGCTCCATCACACAGGTACAGTTTGCCTCCATTGCAGTTGCACATTTCGCATCCGCTGCAGCTTCATGTGCATTGGTGTCTGCGGTTGAACGGGGTTCAAGGGCAACTCGTGGCCCAAAATGTTTTTTGCAACTGGGTGTTTGCCCTCTTCCATGTTTACCTCACGCACGTGTGTACACGGATGTGTGTGTTCGGTTTTGGGGAACAATAGTGTAGCAGTTGGCACGCTGTGCTATGAACCCGGCGACCAAAGTTTTGTTCCTACTCACGGCCCAACAGCAGTGACGATTATCTGAAGCGGTCCTGGGCATCTTCTAGGTCAGGGGTCGGCAACCTACGGCTCCGGAGCCGCATGCGGCTCTTTACGGGCTGCTTCTTGACGATATGCACGTATGTACAGTATGTACTCAGATGCATTGCGGCTCTTGAAATACTGAATTTTGTACCGGATTGGAAAGAAATGGCTCTTCTTGTTATTTTGGTTGCCGACCCCTGCCCTAGGTTGACGCAGCCCCAAAAAACGAGTACCTAGTGCGGTGGGTAAACATCGCCACTCAGGGAGACGAAGTCGGCCAGGGCGTGATGCTGGCCAAACCCCCACCCCTGTGTGTGCCGTGCCGGCCTTCACAAGTGCTACTCACTAACGGCACTTGCCGCAACAGTCTGTTAAGTTTAACACGTAGGCTTTCGCGACCAATATCCATAATAGAGGTTTTTGGGTTAGATCGCGTCTGTTGAGGCTGAGATCGCGTCTGTGAAGGCTACAACACGGGATCACTGTCTTTTGTGACGTAACTCAGGGCACGCCAGTGAACTACCCGCCACCGGTGCCCGGGCTGCTGGCGCCTTACCAAGCGGCCGGCGGCGGAGGTCCCGGCGGCCCCAGCCCCAAAGGCTCCATCTCCATGGGGTTACCGCGGCACGCCGAGCCGGTCAAGCATGGTGAGAGCCCCGAACGGTGGCGACCGCCCGTGAGATGCCCGGTTTAACCACCCCCCGCCTCCCCCTGTGTGCTGTCATCAACTGAATAATAATAGTAATGTTTACCACGTGGAGTTTTTTTTTTTCCTGGTTTCTCATCTGACAATGCTGGACGCAATGTCAAGCGAGACGTGATATCCGATTGCTATTTTTTGTTTGCGGAGAAGTTGTTCTTCCACTTATCTGTGAGCCTGAAATAATAATAATAAGAATAATTTGCACGTTAAATGCGTGACTATTTCATATGATTACCTACGTTGGGTGTTGGAGGGCTACATGACAAATATTAGGCTAGATCAGGGGTCGGCAACCAAAATAACAAGAAGAGCCATTTCTTTCCAATTCGGTACAAAATTCAGTATTTCAAGAGCCGCAATGCATCTGAGTACATACTGTACATACGTACTCATCGTCAAGAAGCAGCCCGTAAAGAGCCGCATGCGGCTCCGGAGCCGTAGGTTGCCGACCCCTGGGCTAGATCATTGTGGCCTAATCCAAAAATCTATAATAATTTAATAATAATTACTTACTTGCCCAGGGAAGCCACTCAAAATAAAGACTCTCCTTCCGGAGGGTTCTGCTACATTTGGATGCTTGGGAAAACCAATCACATTGCGTGTGTGTGTGTGTTTAGCTATGGAAACCCATGCCGAATAAGGGGAGAGCATACATACAGACTCGCTCGCTCGCTCACACACACACACCCTCGTACAGACACTAGCACACACACACTCTCACACACATACTCAAGCACTCAAACAACACTCGAACTCGACAGAACTGGGAGAAAATACAAACTGTTGGATTGGAAACGAGGTCCTTGTTGCTTTTTGGCCTCCAGTGTTACCACTGAGCGTGCCGCCCATGAAGACAGTGATGTGGCTGTTTACTGCGACGTTAATGATTCCACACGTTCCAGAGGGCAGCTGTGATGTAGCTCAATAGTCCTCAATCGTAGTTCTCCTAACCCACCACCACCACGACGTTTCAGCCCGCCACCACCATTGAGTCATCACAAATCTTTTCTATTTGTATGCAACTGCAGCTGCCGTTCATTACACGGATACGACGGTTGGTTGGTAATTGCGGATCGGTTGGCAGTTGTGGAAAGCTGTACTTTGGAGGTGGGGGGGGGGTGGTGTGGAGGGTACGATGACTCCAGTTGACTTAATGATAAAGAGCGCGCCAGTGCCTCGCATAACATAACGCCCGCACACCCGCCTCTCCGGTTTATTTGTGTTCAGCGACCCCGGACAGGAGTATCTCAAAGGGGACGTCTGGACCAAAGGTCCTCCCAGACTCCAACTACAGAGGGTCCATAACTCAGGTAGAGACACATTCTGCCCTGATCACGTCATCGCGTTTATGAGTCCATCCAAGCCGCCACCTACCGCTTCTCTCTCACCTTTGTATCTCATCGCTCGCCCACCTCGTTTTCACTTAACAAGGTAACGACGATGTGATGTTCCAACAGGGCATCCCCGCAGATGCGCTCTACAGGATTCACCATCCCAACTTGCGGGGCGACGACGATGTCATATATTCCGGTGAGCCACTTGAAGGGAAGATGAGCTCTTATCTTGTGGCTACCGCACGCCGTGATAACGGTGTGCCTCGCGCGACCGCAGCTTCGTTCGTGAAAAAAATAGATTTCCAAGATTATGGCCATGTGTGTTATTATTCAGTTTGCTGACATCGTCGTGACTCCACTCTCATTCCATCTCACATCGTCCGTGCAGCTACGTCACTCGGGGAGTGCTCCGATGGAATGTCTTCAACGTGATTTCACACAGCCTAGGTACATGAGAATTTAAAATATTTATTTAGACTGCTGGAGGAATCCGATAAGCTCTGAAGCTTTTTTTTCACACGTCCAGCGTGGGCAAGTCAGCGGGTTACAGGAGCAAACAATGCAAACCAAGATTGGATTACAAAAACTGTAAAGCAAGAAACTAAATATAAATTAATAACACAAGCATTATACAAGTCTGATTTATCAACATTGAGCAAGGCAGCAGTAACAGCAACAAAACAGTTCCAGACCACACCAAGATGACACCCAGTCCTGCAATGCATAGTTAAAATTGTTTTTTTTTGTTGCATTCTTTGTTATTGCCCTGTTTAAAACAGATCGGGCATTGGAAAGGATTGAAATTTAAAAACAATGCACCTGATGTCTTGTTTTTCTTTATTCAATGGGTGACTGCTCCTCTTCTGCTGCTACCCCCACAGTCTGAAATTCCCTTCCGATGGCTGTCCTCCTTATCTCGTTCAAGTCCAGACTTTACACTTTCCTCTTCTGCCCTTGACTGAACCGTGTGTGTCTCTCTCTTTTTCCTTTTGAAGTGTCTTCATTTGCCCATCAACCATAACATTTTCTCTAACACTCTCTCTCCCTGCTCAACTAATAAAAACATCCTTCAACAGATAGATGTGCATGTTTCACCCCCCCCCACTCCTTCCCTCCCCCCTGCTTGTACAGAATCTTGAGATGCAGTCACATTTAGGCGAATCACAAAACTAAATCGTACACACATTTTACACTCCGCTGCAACTAGCTCGCTCTTCAGAGTTCAGCGATGTAGATACAGCGTGTTTAATTAGTGAGAAACGAAGTACCGAGTACCCCGTATAAACACGCGTTCTCTGTCAGTTTTCACATTTGACACCCACTCCCGTTGAATGTAGTTATTTAATTATTATGCCTATAATAATATAATAATTTCCCCTGTATATTAAGCACCCCCCCCCCCCCAACCGCCTATCATTCCTCTCTTACAACCTCACGTCTTCTCCATCGCCCATTCTCTTCCGTTTCCTTCCCCTCGCCCCTCCACCCCTGCCTGTCCCTCTCCTAGCCTTCGTGATCCCTAAGTACCCTCTCTATCGCGGTCGCCAATTCCTGAGCCCTGCCATCTAAATCGTTCTCTTACTCTACCGTTTGTGAACTAGGTGGTTCAGCGCCTTGAGGCAAAGGCGCTCTGTAAATACCCGCCTTGTTTTCTCCCCATTCCACAGGTGTCGTGCAGAAGGCTCCCGAGGTGTCCAAACCGCCCTCGGGTTACCTGGAGGTATCTGCCGGAGCCAAGCGCTCCTATGACATGATGGAGGGTCGCTCGTCGGCTGCCACCCAGTACGAAGGTCAGTGCGGAAGGTTAAGCGAGTGTGTCGCTCGGTGAGAAAGAAAATAATTTACCGATGGAGTGGCAGGGTTCATGGTACTGAGATGTGTGACTCTTGTCCCGCAAGGTTAGGCATTAGCACAACCTCAAGCGGAGATGACCGGTTCACGTCTTGAGCGTTCACGCATTTGTTTGCTGGGATCTATTTAAGTACGACACGGGTCATGGAGGGCTCGTGTTGTGCGACTCTTTCACCCCGATGTTGATGTTTACGCATCGCAACGTGTACTAATTTAAGGGAGAGTCAAACTACAGGAATGTTATCGGTTTCGGATATCACTCGCCACTGATGTTATCCACAGCCAGGAATCGAACACTCGCTGCTGGGTTGGTAACACATTGTGCCAATCCACTGCATCGCCTTTCAGGCAAAGGTTATCTGTTCAGCTATATAGACTTTTTGGGGCACGTGTTGATAGCGAGCTCTTATTTAGGCCAGCGTGGTGGGGCCATGCCAGGGCACCATTGCGTCCACATTGTTGACGTGGATCACATCAGAGCTCGGAAGCTCAGCAGGTTAAGTGGATAGTACTTGGATAGGCGACCACCTGGCATGCCAGCTTGTTAAAGGCAGCTGCGGGACTGAACTATGTGGTGTTTAGCAGAGGGCAGGGCAGCAGCTGCATCATTTATTTTCTGCCCTGCTTTACCAACCTGTACCGACCAGCGTGGTGAAGTCGGTTCAAATAGTCCCCATGACACGCTCGACATGGGGAGGCCATCATCCATGAGTGGATTGACAAAAGGGGGGTGGCTGTACGTGTACAATTTAGCATGAGCAGTTGTGCTTTTGTTCATGATATTATACGTCAGGATGCGCAACCGAAGGCGGCGTGCGCTTGCTTGTGCGTTAATGAACACAGCACGCACGCCATTCAGACGTTTAATCCAAAATATACGTCGCACGATGCTGACGAATCCTTTTGCGTTGTTTTTGGCTTTCATCTTGCTTGCTGTGGGCCCGGCAGGTTTGATAAGTCGCGCTGCGATGAAGGACGAGAGCGGCCTGCGTCCCGCTAAGGACCGGCCGACTGCGCACGGATCCATCATTCAAGGTAAGCGGTCGTGCTGCGAACCCACCGCACGCACGCAGCCTGGCTTGCGGTCGAATCGATCATCGCGCATGGATTCATTTTATCAGCAGTTTGGCACCAGACTTTCTGCAACAAAATTAATCAACCTCATCGTCGTGTCAAATCGCCAAAAATACGGAACGCCGCTCGTAATTTTAATTCGTAAGTTGTATTTATTTCATAATCCGCTGCTGAATGAAGGCCTCCCAGAGCTGTATCGGTCATAGAGGTTGTTTGACCATACTTCACCACGCCGGTTACGAGGACGATCGCGTGGCGCGTTTAAACAACATTTTTTTATTTTACCAGGCAAGGCCTGCAGAGCTATGTAGCTCAACGAAGTGGCTTATCACGTGGAAATGTATAGCACCCAAATACTCTAAACACATGTTGATTCTAAATGTGGAGTGAAAAAACCGGAGGAACCGGAGAAAATTCCACGCATGAGCCGCCACCCTGCCTCTTGAGAAATAGGAAACCAAAAAATGAGCGGCGGTTAATTGCCTTTGCCGAGCAGGCAAAATTAACCGCGACGACTGCGTGTGAGCAGGCACCCCACGGAGCGTGATGGACGCCCAAGAGGAGTACGCCCAAAGGGAGGGCAGGCCGGTGGATGTGAGGACTCAGTGGGCGACGTCCATGGAGGTGCCCGGCACCAGGGAGCGGAACCAGGAGGCCGCGAGGGCTCTGCACGAGAGCCAAGCGTCGATGCATGTCAGGAGAACGCACTACGACGGTTCCATCTCGCAGGTTTGTGCGCGCCTCTTCTTTGCCATCGTGTTTCCCACGCGGGTCCCGGTTTTTTGTGTTTAAACAAACGCTCGAGCGTTGGAACGGTCAACACAGTTAATTTTCGCCGTTGCTCGATTGATGATGTAGCGGTGACCAGCCGAGCAGATTTACACGCGAATCTCTTTGCAATTATGTATAATTCAGCCTCCCGGGATATATGTGGACATTTGAAAAACCTCATGGGCAGAGAAAATTGGCTTAAATACAGGAATGAACCAGATGGGCTTTAATGGCTTTTCCTGCTCTGAAATCTTCCATGTAAACCTGCATTTTGTCTCTGTTTGCGATCTTGTTTTTTTTCAAGGCAACAATTTGTCGCGTGATTTAATTCCAAAGTTAAATTTCTACGCACAATTCCCCCGTCGTTATGAGGGAGCGAACAAAAGACCGTGCTGGTAAAGGAGACACAAAGATGGGAAGGGAATTTAAGTGTGGGCTTTCGGGTTAAGTTGCTTGTTAAGCTTTCAGCTGCACCACCACTGTGGGCATTTTCATTTCCCACGCCGCTGAAGATGCCTGCAGTAGTCCGTGGCGAAAGCTCCAGAAGGAGAATTGCTCAACACGTGGCTTAACCCCGGAAGAGCACACTCGGATGACGAGTGGCCGCAAAAAAACACCTCGATGTGCAACGGAGGGAAATGATTCGACGCCATTTAAATATTTCGAGCCCACGGGAGAGAAATTTAAATTCATTTGTCACAGCCAGCGCGGGGTTGTCACTGGGCAAATAATCTTAGAATCCTTGCAGTAAAACCAGTATTGCATTTGAGCCTCACCCAGCGACAAGCGACAGCCGCGCGCAATGATGCCGCGGAGCTTGCTGTGAAATCCTTTCCGTGGTCTTCTTTTTCAACGTTTGTGTGGCTCTCATACAAAGCTATTGTTTGTGCTCTTGAAAACATTTTTCCGACACAGCCATGTTTCTCTGCTTCCAATTTATTTCTCGTAAGACTCCCGAAAAGATTCGACGCCATTTAACTCTTTCGAGCCCACGGGAGAGAAAAGGAAAAAATGTGGGCTTATTGTTGCGTGCCTCAATAAAGAATCATTCCGTCCGTCCCTGTTTGGTGCGCTTCCCACAATAACTTGCCGATCTCGTCAAGGAACATAAACCATCACGCACTCAGGTCATCCTCGCAGCGGCTTTTCGCTAGCCATCGAACAAAGACGGGTGCCGCATCGTGCGCGTTCAGATGCGTTCCTGCGGTCGTCTGGAACGCTATTCTTTCCGAAATTGGGAAGCCACTGGAGCTAGGCACTTTTAAATCTAGACTGTAAACTCATTTCTTTTGAACTACTTTTTTTGTTTATTTTGGTGTCCTTCCTCCGCACCTTTCATTATTACTGTTGGCTACATAGGGTGCGAAGGAAGTTCAACATGCATATATACATCCTGTGACGTCCCGCAGGGCACGCCGATGAGAATGGACGCGGGCGAGCTGAGGCACGACGTTCGCTCGCTCATCGCGAGCCCGGCCCGGGCTGCCCGGCCCGACCCCGCCGCCGACTCACGCTCAGAGAGACACCGCGAGCAGCCCGACTCCCGCCGGCAGGATGACAACCGCAGGCCGTACGACCTGAGCCGGCACCGCCCCGCCGACACTGGCGCGCAGTCGTCTCGTCGGACGCCCGTCAGTGGCTACCCGGGTTCCATTTCCCACACGAGCCCAAGCGGCGGCACGCACGCCGAGAGCGGCGCGCAGGCATCCGGGAGGACACCCGTCAGCGGCTACCCGGGGTCCATTGCTCACGCGAGCCCCGGCAGCTCTCACGCGGAGAACCTGCAGGCATCAGCAAGGGCGGCTATGGGCTACCCCGGGTCCATCTCGAGGGGCTCACCGGTCATCGTTCGCGACTCCTCGTCTGCCAAACACTCAGAAGGTAAATGGACACACTGGTCGCTCGTGCATTCACCGCACTTTGGGTTTTTGTCGCTCAATACGATGGCAACGATTTTTTTAGCGGTCAGACTTGTCACGAGCGGCGCTGCCGCCCACCACCTTTTTCTCCCCTCTTGCAGCTGGGCAGTCGGCAGGCCGTCCGTCGCCGCACGAGAGGAAGCAGAACTCGACGCCGCGCGAAAAATCCCAAACGCCGACGCCGGAGAGGCAGTCGGTGGCCCAGAACCCGTACGAGTACCCTGTGATCCGAGGCCCCACCCCGGAGCTCCACCGTGGGGCGCTGTCCCTGAGCCTGGAGCAGGCCCTGCACAGCGGGCTGCTCATCGACCCCAGTACGTGGACGGCGGAAGGAAGGGCGTCGCGTGAAATAAACGTTTGGTTCTTTCGGTCAAGTCACGTCGGTGAATAATATAAAAATAAGATGAAAATTTAAATTAAAAAATAAAACATTTGTTTAGTTATTTCTATTTTTTTTGTCACCTACGTGACTTTACCGAAAGAACCAAAGAGTATGGATCCTTGCAGTCACGAAAACTTTAAATCTAGAATGAAATGAACGTTGTGTCCAATTTTGCAGTATCCCACCACACGCGTGGCAAGGGAGCCCTTTAAAAAAAAAGTTAATTATATTTCAGTCGGCGCCCGGTACAGAGCAATAAACCGTGACGTAGTGGAGGCGGGGGCGGTACAGAAACTCCGTTGACGTTATTCTGGAAGGTGTGCTGTTAATGATCCTTTATATGTTGCATGCCATTTTGTTCCTAGTAAATAAACAGTGCCACTGTGGCAAAACAACGAATTTATTATTTAAATGAATCGTGACTGATTTATGATAGGTTATCAAATGGCATACCCAGTGCCAAAGCCTCCTCGTGTCCTTGGCTGTGTTGCTGATACAGAGACCTTGTTAATGCGAGACATCGCTTGATCGTCACAATTGGCAATAGCACTCTGAATATCACTCCCGTAAATTAAATTCCAGCGCCACAGCATTGACATTACGAGAGCACTCTTACCTGTGTCGGACAGGCTCTGGGGACATAGCCTGGGTACACGGATCTTGCAAGATAAAGGCTGTTTGTTATTTCCCGGTCGTGTTTTGTCGCACGGACTTACACCGTTAAGCGATTTTGTTTTGTTTTATATTATACCTCAGAGCACAGGATTCTTGTGAACGTCTTCGTTAGTGTAAGATTAAATTTTAAATAGGTTTCTTCTCTTGACCTACGCAAAGATCTAAACGTCGCCAGATGCTTGAATGTCACACGCACTTAACATCTCGGCTGGGCTTGCGAATAAGTCGACATACATATTTAAAACATTAAACGTGTATTGCTTAACATCTCGTCTTGTTTTCGACGTAATTTAAAAACTCTGCGCTCTCTTTTTTTCTCCGCACGGACACACACAGCAGCTTATTACCTGCACCGGCAAATGCAGGGCGCATACTTCCTGCCACGGCACATGGCCCCCGTTCCCGGGTACCCGTCCTACCCGTTCTTTCACCTGCCCGGCTACCCGGAGAACCCTGCGTTGGACAACACGCGGCAGACGATCCTCAACGACTACATCACGTCGCAGCAGATGGGCTTGCCGCGCGGCATGGCGCAGCGCGACCAGACCCTGCCCCCGCACTTCTCGCCCTTCATGAGGAGTACGTTCGCAAACATTCAGGTCGTGCTTATGAATCGGCGGTTGAAGCTACCGGGCGAGGTTTCCTAAATCTCTCCCTCTCCCCTCCCAAGATTTTCAAAATCTGCCCCCCCCCCCCCCCCCCCCCCGCCGCGCGTAGAAGTGTAAGTTGGGCACGCACAAGGGGAGTGCCACGGATGGTTTCCACTTGCGACTTCGGACCGAAACTTTTAAAAGGTGGAGGCCATGGCCAACCGCTGCCTATCCAAATCCCCCCCTCCTCCCCTGTCCCCACCAGCGGCAGCACCGAAGCGATCCATCTACTCGCAAAGCGACGCCGTAGAATGGCCCAAGGACTTCGACCTCGATATCTTACATTTGATTGCTTTTCCAAAAACCAGTTGCTTATTTGTGCAACGTGCCATATGAAAGAAGACATTGGTATTTCCGCAATTACTCTTTGACAGTTGGCATCCGTTCCGTGAAGTGTAATGTAACAGGCGAATTTATAGTAACCCAATTTCTTTTGGTTTCTTGTCACTGAGATGGTGGCATGGCCGAGCGATTTGCACGTTTCCCCGCATGCCGCGGACGTTGAAGGTTCGAGCCCCCGCGTCCTCCCTGGGCAATACTGTGGAGGGCCTATTCAGCGCAACACACTGCCTCACAGTGGATGGTTCAACATTCCCTGACAGAATTCCAAAGAGAGAGCAGTGCCCGACATGCGTGCTGTCAAATTTGACCGAATTTACCCTCAAGTGACCTAAAGTGGTAGAGAATACACAGTTATCATCATCGGCACCTACCGTGAAACTTCTGCAGGTTGAGCGAAATATAGTGGCGGTTGTCAAGTAAATTTCACGTAATTTTATTTGACTAATAAGGAAAGATCCCGACGCATCAACCTGACTACTGATGCAGCAATCGGTGAAAATTTGGCAATTGTCACCCCCCCCTCCCCCCCACACGTTAATTCTGACGCCCGCCGCCACCGGTATTTTTGCAGCAGGCATCATCGACCTGTCGCAGATGCCAGCGCACCCCATGCTGGTGGGGACCCTGGGGGCAGCCGCGGCAGGAGCCTCGGGCCTCGAACGCTTGGCCTACATCCCCGGCGGGCCGATGCCCTTCGACTCGCGGGCCTACGCCGCCGCCGTCTCCGCCACGCAAGGTGAGGGAGGTGGTCAGTGGGGCCGTGGGCCTCTGCCTTGATGTAGTAGCATCTCTCGAGATGAAGGGGGGGGGTGGATTGTCTTGGAAAAAAGTTGGGAAACCCACAAAGTGTCGCTGGTCACAGAGTATAAAGGCTTTTGTTGAGAGTACGGGATGTTGCGCGGCCATCTGTGGGGAGATGATGGTGTAAAATGATCAAAGTGGATTTTCCTGCGTCTCACAGAAGCCAACGTGGGGAATAAAAAAATATCTTACGTGGCTTGTCAAATTTTCCAGGACAACCCCTAACAACGTGGTGTGAATTTTTTATCGTCTTGTTCATCCCAATTGAAATTCATCTGTCACTGCCAGCGCGGGGTTGTCACTGGGCAAATAATCTTAGAATCCTTGCAGTAAAACCAGTATTGCATTGGAGCCTCACCCAGCGACAAACGACAGCCGCGCGCAATGATGCCGCGGAGCTTGCTGTGAAATCCTTTCCGTGGTCTTCTTTCTTAACGTTTGTGTAGCTCTCATACAAAGCTATTGTTTGTGCCCTTGGAAATAGAACGTAGTCGTCGATGGGACATTTTTCCGACACAGCCATGTTTCCCTGCATCCAATCTATTTCTCGTAAGAATGAAGAAGGCAACCGTTAAACGTCCTCCCATCATAAAGCAGAGCCACTCGTGGATTTGCATGTGCACAGTGAAATCAACTTGGATTTGTTTGGGACAAGCCGCTTGACTCCCCGTTATTAACTGAAACAAATAACGACCCAACGTGCTTCATACTCAAGTGTGAGTGCTATAAAACTATATATATAAAAAAAATATTTTACTAGGTAAGGCCCCACTGAGCTGCTATAGAGTGACCTGGCCACAAACGATAGCTCAACGAAGTGGCTTATCGGGTGGAAATTTATATCAGCCAAATACTTTGGACGCACATTGATTCTAAATGTGGAGGGAAAAACCGGAGGAGCCGTAGAAAAATCCACGCAACCACATGAAGAGAGAGACACGCAAACTCAATATACAGGCGTAGTCGGGATCGGGATCGAATCCACGACCTCCTGTATACCAGGCGCAGTTGTTAACATCTCGCCACCGTGGCACCCAAGTGCATGATTATTATCCTCCCTGAGCTAGGCTACCGGCAGCAGCGTGCACGGCACACCGATCAAGTGTATCGTTTTAGTGTCGCTATTGCCATGGCGTCTAACACCACCCCCCCCCCATCCCCAGGCTCATTGCCTCACATGGTCCAGCCTTCGGCCCGGGGCGACGAGAGGGAGAAGGAGAGGGAGCGAGACAGGGAGAGGGAAAGCAGAGCTCAGCCGGTGCAGGAGCGCTCCCCGTCTCGCAAACAACAGGGTACGTGCGTCCGCACGAACGCTCGCGTGCGCGGGTGTGGAATTTTCGACCTGGCAACAACAAGCCGCCCCTCACCCCTGGACTCTGCTGGCCGAGCTTTTGTTTATTTAAAAAACCGAGCCAAAAAAAACAACAACCCATGGCTCCGTTTTGAATTGTAAACACGGAGCGGTCGGCGTCACACGTGCGTACATTCTCAATATAATACGGGGGCAATGTACGGTGTGTGCAAATATTTAGCTCTGAATATTTATGTGACGGGATTGACTTTTAGAGTTGTTTGTGTTACGTGATACGCATTTGACCCGACCGTACGCCCCCCAGCAGTGCAGCGTTCAACCCCCACCCATCTTCCAAAAGCCTTCCAACACCCACGTGTTACAATTTTGATGTGTGTTTTTAACAGGTTTGTGCATCATCTTGTGGTTAGTTTTGTGTGGGTGTGTGTATAGAAACTGCCTACCCATAATAAGAATGTCATTCGTTTATGTAGGAAAGCTGCAATTAATCTTCAGACTAATTTTGACGATGTCCTTAATTGGAAAATGTTGCCAATTCTCTTTAAAGGACGATTGCATGTGGTAGGAAAACCAGGTGCCTATCGAAAATAAAACCCAGTGAATTTGACGGGTTGGCACTCAGCGGTTCCGCAGACATTCAGAACCCACTTTCTCTACTGCCACCTCCTGGCTGCCTCTCATCCCAGCAGGTTTGTGAGTTTCACGAATCTCCACGTGATCCACCGACCATTGCATCCATTACAGGCCCGTCCCTGTCCATGCCCTGGTCTGTTCCGTGACCTTCGCTACCCCACAGCTCCCTGTCGGGAACCAAGCCTGGCGCAGGCAGGAGGTTGCGAAGGGTGCTGCTTCTGGCGGTTAATTGTGGTCGGGTCACGCTGCGTCTTTCTCATTTTTCTGCGTTAAATGTCAGCACCCACGTAACGCAGTTGGCCAAGCATCAAATTTTAGGACCGCAGTGCATGGGCAATTGTTGGCGCCCGTTCTGGCTGCCTTCCCACGTGCCTTATAGTTTTCAGTACCTCTAAATTATTACGTCTTTGTGAGAGTGAACAGAAACCATGCACTTTGCAAATTAAAAAATATTGTTTCATCATTATAATTATTACGTCGCCATTTTATCTCCGGCACCTGGCCCCCGCACATACCCACACAGAGATTCCACGCAAAAAAGTTTAGTAGGAGGGCACTTCTCCGGGTTCCTCCTCGGGGCAGGCATCCCAGACAGGGTCGCTGTGAGGACCCCGTTCTAATAAGCTGCGTACCACATGGCCGTTTGTGCGTTTTTGCTGATGGCAGCGTCGGAGGCGGCCCGGCCGATCGGTGGGGTGCAGCCGTCGATCCGGACGTCGGCGTCGCCGCCCCCATCCCCGAGGCAGAGGGGCAACGTGATCCAGTCTCCCTCGGCGCACGGCCAGGGCGGGAAGAGCGTCATCACGCTCGCCGAGACTCACGCCGCCGCGTACTCGCGGCAGAGGTATGCTTTTGTTTGTGTTTGTGTGTCTTGTGTCCCGATCACGGCCTCCAACACCCGTGACGATTATCTGAATCGGTTCTGGGCCTCCCCTCCATGTGTGCGTGCGTGGGGTACTGAAATGAGTAACTGATGCAGTGTATAACCATCACCACTGGGGAGACAAATGTGGCCAGGCGTGGTGCTGATCTCTCACCCCCTCGTGTGCCATACCAGCCTTCATAGGTGCTCGCTGATAGCACTTACCCCAATTTGCCTGTTAAGGCTATATACCTTTGTCTTTTGCGCGCGCCTGTGCGGAAGTGCATCTCTCAGTCGGCAACTCATAACAGGTGGGGCTGTCCCACGCCATACTTGCCAGCGCGCCTTCCACACTTCTTACGTGGCCTCAAGAGTGCATCTATTTTGGCACAAGCATCGGGGGTGATGTCGCTGCTGCCACTTAGTGGCGAATGGTGGCTGTTACTGTTGCTGCTGTTGTTTGCTGCTTGTGTGTGGTAGTGTACTGATGAGCACACTGCATCTGATGACCTAAATTCGATTCCTGCTCACTTGCTCACATTGACACATTTTCTGATTGCACAAAGATAGTAGTGGCGTCTTATCGTTTTGCTCGCTCAACTATAATCTCGGTGGTCCAGGTTAAATTCCTGACCGTGCATAAACATTTACCAGCGGCAAAAAAAAACAATTACGGATCTGGTTGAGTTTCTCAGTGGAAGGGGAAAGAATTAAGTGGAAGTGGGAGGGACTAGGCAGAATGGGGAGGAGCTAAGTTGAAACCAGACCTCTGCCACCTCTGTATGGCCACTCGTCCAATGTCATCTTATATTACATTTTATTTTTAAACATTTTCCAAAAAAAATCTCTCTGAAGGTCACCGTCCACCGGGAGCTACGCGAATTACCCCGTCGCCTCCAGCACGCAGCGGCACGGCGACATCATGAGCGGCGTTGCCAGCGGCGTGGGAGATCCCGGGGTGCATAAACACACGGCCGGAGGCTTCGCGCCGCGTCAGCCCGACGTGGACGGCATGGGCTTCAGGCCCCCGCACGACGTGCACCGGCATCGCGACCGCAGGACCGCGGCCGACGAGGGCAGGAGAGACCCGGGCCTTTACGGGAAACAGCAGCAGCACCAGCAGCAGCACCAGCAGCAGCAGCAACACCAGCAGCAGCAGCAACACCAGCAGCAGCACCAGCAGCACCACCAGCAGCAGCACCAGCAGCAGCATCAGCAGCAGCAGGCGAGCATAGACCTCACAAAGCATGCGGAAGGCACGAGGCAAGTCGATGCCGGCCTGCCATTCTCTGATCAGAAATCGCGCTCCATCATCAGCTCCCCGGTGGCAAAATCCGCCGCACAGCACCACCAGCAGCACCAGCAGCACCACCACCAGCATCAGTCGCATGCTCCCAAGCAGCCGCAGCTCACAAACGTTTCGCCGCACCAGTACGGCACTAGCGGACCACAGCACTTCCCGCCGTTGAGCCAGGCAGCGGTGCCACCGCAGCTGGTGTCCAGCGCCCAGCCCGTCGTTTCGGCAAGCCCGCCGCACTTCAAAGTGGCCGGTGGCGGCAGTGGTGGCGGTGCGGGCAGCGACACGTCCAAGCCGGTGAACCACCAGGCGGTGGCGGCGGCTGCGGTGGTGGCAGCGGCTGCAGCGGCCACGGCGGAGAGGGAGGAGGCGCCAGAGAACCCGCTGTTCCTCCTGAGCCGAGAGCTGAAGACGCGAGGGCGGGCGACGATGACGGCCGCCAACTTCATCCACGCCATCATCACGCACCAGATCTCGGGGGACAAGGACCGGCAGGAGGGCAGCAGCCCCCTCAACCTCGACTCCACCAGCACCGGTGAAGGCCTCGATCAGTGCGGCTCCCCATCGCCGGGCTTGCCGAGCCCCCCCCCCCCACGTATAGGAGGGTGCTTGTCCTACAAAAACATGATAACCCACGTAGAAATGTGGGTATCACGGTGGCGAGATGTTAACTACATTCGCCTGGTATTCAAAAGGTCGTGGGTTTGATCCGACGCTTGTCGCCTGCTTAATATTTGGAGTTTGCATGTTCTCCCTGTAGTCGCGTGGATTTTTCTCTGGGTCCTCCCGTTTTTCCCTCCACATTTAGAATCGACATGCCTTTAGGAGTATTTGACCGCTATAAATTTCCACGCGATGTTAAGCCACTTCGTTGAGCTATCATTTGTGGCCAGGTCGCTCCTGAAAAACGGCTATATAGCTCAATGGGCCTTTCCTGGTAAAATAAAAATTGCTTAGCTGTAAGCATGTTTTGTTGAGGTAACGTGGCAGCTTTATTGGAACACATGACGATCCAACTTTTGATACTTATTATTGTATCATCTCCCCCACAGATGGCTGTGTTATTGGGAGCGTAATCAATTACTCGTTTCCTCCCCATAATATGCCAAATGTTAACACGATCATTCTCTGTGAAGGTTAACTTTTGTGGGCTATTGCATTGCATGGTACAATTTTTGTTCATCTGGCCGTAAAGCTGCATATTTTCAAATGCCATCTAAATGATAGGTAACAGGTTTTTTTTTTACGTCTTAAGAGGGAAAGAAAGTTATTGGTATTTTGACCCGGTGGCTTTTGTGAAGTTTCCTAATGTGTTTTGCTCAACTGGCATTTTTCCTGAAGAAGAAAGGCCAATTACTCAATACCACAAAGTTTTAAATACCATAATTAAATGTTAACATCTTAAGATCATTCTTTCCTGTCGGTAACCGTAAACAATGCTTTATTATATATTTCCATTTGACATTTTACTCATCGTATAAGTCCCAACTTTATAGCCATCGTACAAACTACAACGCAGACGTTAATTAATGATGTTATCTGCAGCAGGATGCCAAACGTGGATTGTTAATCAGACTTTGTGCCACATGTCAACCCCCACCCCTCCTATTCTCGAAGGTCGTTCGTTGCCCGTTGAAGGACATTGATCGAACGACATTTGTGCAAAAATAGCGCTGTCGCCTTCGAGCCCACGCCCGCAAACCTTTGTAAAAGGGCGGCAACTCTGCTGACAGCCGTCTTGTTTGGCAGAATTTGGCCGTGGCGGGTTCTGTCGGAGAGTAGTCTTTAGAGTCGAGACCTTCACGTAAACTTATCCTTTAGTCCCCCGGCATGCGACAAGGAAAGCTCCACCTGGCTTGAATGTTCGTGGGCTTTTTTATTATTTTTCTTCTTCTTCCGTTTGGCTTAGGTGCCACCTAGTGTTGAATATCATTTCATCAGCAAACTACGCCAGAATGGCTTTTCCACTTTATTGTTGTTTTGAAGTGGGGAGGTAGCCAACATTGCGTGTGCGACGAACGTAAAAACGAAAATTCCGTGGCACCCCACGAGAGCTGCGATGTGCTCGCTCTTTAAGTGCCACAGCCGTGATGTTGTGGCGCGGCCACGCCTGTGATCCAGCGCTTCGTACGCGGTGACGAGATGTTAACTCCCTTGCCTGGTATGCACGAGGTCATGGGTTGGATCTCGACCCTGACACCTGTGCATTTGGCGTTTGCGTGTTCTTCACGTGGTCGCGTGGATTTTTCTCTGGTTCCTTCGGTTTAGAGTATTTGGCTGCTTGAAATGTCCACGTGATAAGCCACTTCGTTGCGCTATCATTTGTGGCCAGGTCGCTTCTGAACAGGAGCTATATAGCTCAGTGGGCCTGACTTGGTAAAACACAAATAGTCGAGTTATGTTATTGGCTCACGCAGATATTTGGGAAACTTCCAAACACTCTGGGATGTGAGGTATCCCGGACATGGGCATTACACCGAGTGGGTTGTGAACCTGTCTTGAAAGACCTTTGTGTTTCTCCGGGCACTCCGGTTCTCCTCCCACATCTCGTAGAGATTTGTGAAACTCACAATCCCGCTGGACTGAGATGTGACCCGGAGGTGGCAGTACAGCAAATAGGTTGGTGAACCCGTCGGCGCCTAGCTCTGGGGGTCACCCCCTCATATGTATGGAGGGTTCTCTCCGGTGTTCTCCGGTGCCAAAGGAAACCGTCGTTTTAAAGATGTATGGACGTATTCTCTCCATATGTAAAGTAATGCAATGCAATTTGGATTCGTGTAACACATGAAGATGACCGCGTCTCGAGGCGCTGCACGGAGATAATGGGAATCATTTGAACAAGGCTTCACGGTGTTACTCTGTTTAACAATGGCCGTATTTATTAAAGATGATTGCATTGAGCGGTAGAGCACGGGCCTCGCAGGCGGAAGGCTTGCCGGTTCTAATCCAGGTGTGGGCGTTTTGACTCGGACCATCATCCCTCAGCGGTCAATAAAATAAGTGGGTGAAGTCAACGGTGGTTGTCCTCCGGAGAGACTCCTCGCACTCTCCCCCCCCCCCCCCCTCGCCATGGGACTGCGGAGTTTCCTCCACGGGCTCAGGGCCGTAAAGCATGAGACGAGCACCGTTACCGTGCCTGACCATTTCCAAATCGCTCTCTTGACTCCCGATGTTTTTTTTTTGCGTGTTGCTCGATTGCAGAGTCGGCTCCGTCGAGCGGATCAGAGCGCAGTATGACCAACAGCCCAGGCGCCTCTCCCTCGCAAGCTCACGAGAAGGCGGGCGGACGCAAGGCGCACGCCTCTGCCCAGGGTAAGGTTGCTCCGCCGCCTTGGTTTTTCTCGGGAGCTTTGGAGTTGGTGCCAGGGGGCCCAAGCAAACCGAGCGTTTCGCCACTGGTGGGGAAAAAAAACAACCCAATGAATTTGGATTTAAAGCTTTCGTGACTGCAGGGATTCATCTTCTTGGTTCTTTCGGTAAATTTCCCTTCTACGTGACTTTACCGAAAGAACCAAGAAGATGAACCCAATGAATTATTAAACAAACGCGATGCTTGCTCCTTGCCGCACTGGCAAGTAAGCGGTCATCGATAATCGTGGCTTTTGTTAACGTACATAATTATCTGATGTATCTGCACCGAGAGAAATGAAGAGGAATACACAGATTAGAGAAGGGGGATGCACATGCGTGACGTCCTATTGACCGCTAAGAATACTTAGTGGGCTTTTGCGCGGTAATGTGGGCACCACGGTGGCGAGATGTTACCTACCTCGCCTGGTCTGCAAGGAGGTCGTGGGTTCAATCCCGACTGGCGCCAGCTGTATATTTGGAGTTTGCATGTTCTCCCCGTGGTCGCATGGATTTTTCTCCGGGTCCTCCGGTTTTTCCTTCTACATTTAGAATCAACATGCGTTTAGATTATTTAGCTGTTATAAATCTCCACATTCGTGGCGCTATCATTTGTAGCCAGGTCGCTTCTGAAAAAGAAGCTTCATAGCTCGGTGGGCCTTACATGCTAAAATAAAAATTGTGATTTTTTAATAGTTTTAAGTGGGTTGCGCGTTTGCCACCCTTTGCAGAGGTTCACGGTTCGAATCTGACACGCCACCCCGGTTATCTCTGCTATGAAGCCTGCTTCATAGCGGACCTTAAAAATCCCCTGACGTTCTTCGAAAAGAGCAGACCGTTGCGTGCCAGTGTAATGGGCCAAATCTGTCAAATTTGAAAGATTCCTTGCAAATGACTTGGGATTATACAAAACAATCGTCGCTCTCCCCGACTTGCAGATTAACGCCCGCTTGCGGTCGCGGGGTGCCGAGGCACACTTGTGCCACACAGGGACACCTGCGATTGATGGTGCCCTTTCAAATGCGCGAGACGCGGCGCAAGTCGCTTATCTGCGTGTAAAAGTGCGCCGAGCCGCCCTGACGTAGGAGGAGGGGGGGTGGCTCTAATCAAAAACGAATCGTGCTGACTGGTCATGTGTTCGTATACTCTTGTGGCTCAGCCGAGAAGAGTCAATTTGCCGCGGACGAGCGGAGAGAGCCGACATCGCAAGCCGAGAGCAACCCCAGCGCCAACGCGACGAGCAAGCCTCACACGTCGACGCACCGCGTCATCACCCTGGCCGACCACATCCACGTACGAACAAACACACAGCAGGTCCCCCTGTTAGCCTGAGCGGGCTGTCGGGGGTAGATGCTGTGCTGAGGCCACAACAGAGCACACGAGAGGTTATGGGGGGCGGGGGGGAGAAGAGTTTATTGACCACACGGGCAGCAGTGGAGAAAGAGCAAATGTCCGTCCCATGAAGCGAAGGTTGACTGTGGGGGGCTTTGACAAAGAGCTTTGATTGCTGGGGGTAGTGGGTTCGATGCCGACTCTGACGCCTGCTGTGTACTTGGAGTTTGCGTGTCTCTCTCCCTTTGGTTGCGTAGATTTTTCTCTGGGTCCTCCGGTTTTTCCTTCCACATTGAGTAAACACGTGTTTAGGGTATTTGGCTGCAACACATTTCCCACGTGATAAGCCACTTCGTTGAGCTATCATTTGTGGCCAAGTCGCTTCTGATCAAGAGCTATATAGCTCAGTGGGCCTTGCCTGGTGAAATAAAAAATTGTTTAGTATTTAGGATAGCACACTGGCAAGCAAGCAGTGAGATGAGAGGGTAGCGTTCGACTTTTTTCCACATGTAGTCATGTCCAACCATCGTATTTTTGGGTTTTTAACTCCCAAAATGAAATCCAACTTAAAAAAAGATATATCTGAAGTTATTCACGTATGAACGAGTTCCTCTATTCGGATTTCATCGGCGTCTCTGCTGTTTGCGTCTCAAAAATTGGATGAATTTTTAATAAGGCGAAAACATTTCCATCGATTGAAATATTTGAGTCGTATTGACGCTTGAATAATGTCACTTCTAAATTGTGTTTATTGCAGGGTGTTCTAATAAAGTCAGGTGGAAGCAGATTGATTGATCTTTTGTTGGAAAATGTTACCCGTGTCGAGGTGGTTATTGAACATTAAATACTCCAGAAAACCAATGCCAAAGGGAGAACGTTATACATCGGGCAATTACCGCAAGGGATTTATAAACAACTGACATCGGCATTTGATATGAAAAAATACATTACGGGCAGTGTAGCATTAACAAATCAAAACAATTCACCACCATCATCAGACAACCTTACAACTGGGGGAAAAAAAATAAACAATATGGATACGTCAAGTCATTGTTACTGACGGATGTAGTGAGTTTTTGTTTGTGTTTGCGCTTCACTGCATTGCCAATGGGATTTGTATTTAGTATTTTTGGTTTTGCAGCCTATTTTATATTTTTCCGCTTGTAAGGCGGCAAGGGTTAGGTTAGAGCGGTAGTACAATGGTGTTATCGCACTGCGCTATCGTTGGTGGCAAGTGATATCTGAACCGGTCTTGGACCACACCTCCCTTCACCCCAATCCGCACCGCGCAGCATGGTGAAGTATGGTCAAATAACGCCCATGACTGAAACGGTGTAGGCAGCAGTCCTTTATCCAGCATTCGGTTAATCAAGGGCTGTAAATAATTATGTCAGAATCAGAATATGTATTTATCCTGGATGACAACCGAGCTTTTGCGCGTCCGCTTGGCACAGGAAATCATAACTCTGGACTACACAAGGAACGTGGGCCCCTACCCTCTGCACGCATCTCAGCGTAGCCCTCGGCAGTCGCCCCCAGAGGCCCACAGCACTGGCAGCGGCAGCGGGGGGCCACCCCCGCTCGCCAGGGGCCAGGATTCGCTGCCGGTGCCGCCCCCGAAACCGAGGGCAGGGGAGCCCAGCCCCCCGGAGTTGACGGCGGAGCAGCTGCCCTCGTCGCTGCCCTCGTCGCTGCCCCTGCGAGTTGTGCCCAAACTTGCCAACGACTCGTCGCCGAAACCGTCCTCCCGGTATGGGCCGTGGCTTTTTTGCCGCGATTTATTTTTCAGGGTTCGGGTGGCGTTGTGGTTGCGTGGGGGTAGCGCGGCGTAACACGTGCCCATGATCCGGCACTTCAGAAGCCCTGCTTGCGAGGTTGTTAAGTGGCCATGAGATGACGGCATAGCATGCGGATTATAATGAAACTCATCTTTGCTAGGCGATGTACCACTGCTTTTTCTGTGAGGGTTGCGAACGGATAATTGTTATGCGTCTTGGGATGTGACGCCCACAGCGCTGTTGAATATAATTTGGAGGGCAAACTGCAGAAGATATCTTGCATGGTGCCGACTTTTTCATATCCCCGACTGCCTGTGCCTGCCTTAAGAGCTGCTCGCTAACATCGTCTTCGACCAGCAGTGTATTGATTCTGGCTGATTATGCATATCAATTCCATAAATTGTAAATAATCCATGCTCACGTGCCCCATTCTATGTGTGTGTCACGAGCGGATGAACTTACACTCGGCGTTTATTATGCGCGTCGCTACGTTGCCTATAAATGATCCAATCACGGGGGTGGGGCTTGTTTAGAGCGAACCGTTAGCTGTGGCCCATTGCCCTCATCTCTGCAACAGAGTGGGGACATTTCCTGGCGGGGATATCGTGGCCTGTGGTAAGAATCAAGGTGGGGGGGGGAGGGTAGGTTAGGCTGGGTAGGGTAGGTTAGGGTGGGTAGGGTATATGGGGGGGGGATGTGAGGTAGGTGGGGAGGGGGCGAGTGATTTTCGATAACCTCCAGCCGTGGGGTCATGGTCGCCCTCATCCTCTGTGCAGGATGAGGAAGTCCCCGGACGAGAGCCAGGACTCCCCGTCGGGCTCGGAGGGCGGACTGGAGCCGGCGTCTCCGCCCACAAGCGCCAGCAGCGGTTCAGAGCAGCACGACAAGCCGCCTCCCGCCGGCAACGCAGCGGCGCCGGCGCCGGCACACAAGGAGCCGGTGCCCGAACACAGGTGCGAGGAGAGAGGGAACTTGTGCTGCGAGCGTGCGAGCGTGTGAGCGTGTGTGCGTGTGTGGCGTACTCAAATGAGTACTTGGTGGTGCGGTGTAATAAACATCGCCACTGGGGAGACGAAGGCGGTCGGGCATCGTTGTGCTGGCCACCCACACACCCCCTTGTGCGTTGTGCCGGCCTTCATTGGTACTCGCTAACAGCACTTGCCCCAACAGTATGTTAAGGCTATACAGGGGATCTTTGTCTTTCTGTGTGGGGAGTGGTGGTGCAGTGGGCAGCGAGTTGCGCTACGAACCCGGCGACACCAAGACCGATGCCCGCTCTTGGTCACCAGCACCAGTGACTATTATCTGAACTGGTCTTGGGCTTCCCCTAGGTCGAATTGGCCTGAAATGAATACCTGATACGGTGTGTAAACATCGCCACTGCGGGGAGACAAAGGCGGTCGGGTGTGGTGCTGGCCACCCACCCGTTCGTGGTACTGTACATGCCTTTATCGGTGCTCGCTAAATAAACACTTGCCCCCCAAAAGTCTGTTACGCGTGCATGGCATTTGCAGGGGGTGTCTACTTGCGTGTGCATGGCGGTGTGCTATCTGGTAAGGGAGCAGCAATACTGGGCAGTGGAGTAACCCCTCTGATTCAGTGCTGCTCGGACCTCTTCGTCTGCGCGTGGCGCGAGCAGGCCCGACCCCCGAGGGCTGGCCTACTCTCCCGCCTTCTTCAGCAAGCTGACGGAGAACACGTCGGCGATGGTGAAGTCGAAGAAGCAGGAGATCTACCTCAAGTCCACGTCGACGCGCGATGTCGGTGAGGGTCGCGCGCCTTCACCGCACCGCCGACACGACAACAGTGGAGGACCCACAGAGCTTGGGCGATTGTTGACGCCGGTTTTTGGGCTGTCTTCCCCCCCTCCCCCGCTTGTCTGCAGTTAATCCGTTCCTCCAAAACGCGCTCTCTGTTGTGTCTCTCTTGAGAGTGAACAGAAACTGCGCTTTAATACATTTTTTAATCAGGTTCTCAAATTCAGCTGATTTGGTAGTGTCAGACCGGTCAGCAATGATGGCGTAATTTTTCTTATCAACCATTAAATTGACAAAATATTCAGCTCTGAGAATGAAAAGCGAAATATTAATTATTAGTGAAAGAGTTTTATCAACACGTGATGCTTAAAAAAAAAACTTACAGGTATTTTAACTTATATAAAAACACACTGGGTTTAGCCTCTCTGACCGTGCATCTTGTAGCGATTCATGTTGACACTGCACACTTTGTTACTACATCCCTATATTCGTTCCTCCATTGTCGTTTTTCAAGCAATTCTCATCATCGCCCACTCCCTTTGCTTCACAAACGTCCGGATATTTTCTCACTTTGTAAAAACTTGTGGCCGTCGGGGCTGTTCGTGTCACCGCCTCTCGCCACGCCCTCCGCAAATAACGTATCGAGCGATGGGTTCCTTTGTGCGCGCGTCTGCGATGACGGCTGCGATCCTGCTGTAGTCTAAACGTCTACGAAGTAAAGTACACAGGCTGGCAACAAACACGTACACACACTACCAGCTGCACCGCACTTACTGCACATTGCGCGCGGTTTATTACGTTCGTTGTCGCTGTCGCTGGAAAACGTCTTCACGCTTTGTGCCGTTGTGTCTCTTTAGGAGCCGGGCAGCCCGGCACAGAAATATTTCAGATGCCCGCAACCCCCGTGTCAGGTACAGCGCTACCCTTACAGAGCATCATAACTTTTCTTTTGCTATCCTCACACGCACGCCCTCTATATTCTGTTTACAAAGAGAAAATTTAATCTTGGGCGAATCTGCGCCACATTGATTTCGCGGCTGTGCGCGACCATGCCTGGCCTCCGTGTAATTTTGCACCCAACGTATCCCTGCCTCTCTGACAAGCCAAGCGTTGCCTCGCCCCGGCAGTCAATAGTCCCCGCCGTATTTAATATCGGTGTAATCAAGCCATGCAGACGTCTCGTTGATGCCCAATCCATTTCCCTGCACGCGCGTGCCGCGTGTTTAACTTTTTTTTGCCGCGCAAGAAAAAAGCTGCCGCGCCGCCGCAAAAATTTCATCCCCCATTGATCCCCGGATTTTTCTCGTGCCTCCTAAACATAACTCGAAATTTACAAAATCGATATCCACTCTGAACTTGAAACGTCCGCAAATTTTTTTTATTTTTTACTACCCTTGAAATAATCTTTACCAAAAATAATCTGTGAAAACACAAAAAAACACAATCGATCCCTGCCAAAATAACAATTAAAATCCATAGAAAGTAATTAGAACCATGGCAGTTGTTACACTGAAGGGTTTAATTCGTGTGACACCAGTCCTGTTGTGCACACGCACCACTGTTGGAGGTACGCAGACACTTGTTTTTCCTCCCGTGGACACACGGGTGTCGCTGGTGTCGAGCGGAAGCCTCCGAAGTTGTTGTGAGGGAGCCGTGGAGCAACTCCACCCCCCACCCATCCCTCCTTGTCCTCATCCTCCTCATCCAGATCCGACCAACAACCTGGGCCTTGAGGACATCATCAGGAAGGCGTTGATGGGAAGCTTCGAGGACTCGAGCACAGGCAGCAAGGGGATGGGCCCCCACATGTCCCCCGTGCCACCCGGACCACCCGCCCCTCCCACCCTGGAGCCCCGTCAGGACTCCGACAGCCGAGCGTCGCCCCTCTCTGGTGTGTGTTGACTTGCCGGTCTCCGGCCCCCCCTCCCTCCCTCCTTGCCAACCACCCCCTTCATTCCCTGTCTCCTCCGTCTACCCTGCCTCAGCGATCGATTTTTTTTATTTGAGAAACAAATTGGCACAGACTGGATTAAAAACTCGCCACCACCTTCGTCCGTATCGCTGCCCTGTAACAGAAAATGTCGTAGTAGTAGTGTGAATTACGTTTTTATTTAAAAACAGGAGAGAGCCTCTTGTGATGTAAAGTATTGTTTTCCAGGGCGAGCAGTGTAATAAAACACGTGCGATAAAAGGTCAAAAGCAGCAGGAGTGGCCGACCATGATCAATCCACTGCTGATTGAAGGCCTGCCCACGTCATTGTCATCTTTTGCGATCCTTCGATGCTACAATAATTAAACATCAGCGGACAAAGCTAAAATGCGAGGCCGATCGAAATGTCTCTGTGCAGTGGAATAATTACGACGCAGATTCGCAGCAGCTGCTAAGAGTGGGGGTGGGGGGGGGGACCTTTAACATCCAACACGAGCTGACAGGTCGACACGCGTCCTGAGACGCACGATCCCATCCCTCTGGCTGTAAGTCCCTCATTGCACTGGCTCTCGCCATCTTCCTTTCATTCACGGTGTTTGAAGGTCGTTTGCATTCACCGGACAGACTTTTCATCACCTTGTCTCGAGCAATGCAGAGAGAGAAAAGAACAAGCAGAATGCTAAACAATAATAACGAACAATTGAGCAGCACGATGTTATACATCAGGGGTCCTCAAACGTTTTAAACAGGGGGCCAGTTCACTGTCCCTCAGACCGTTGGAGGGCCGGACTATAGTTAAAAAAAAACTATGAACAAATTCCTATGCACACTGCATATATCTTATTTTGAAGTGAAGAAACAAAACGGGAATAAATACAATATTTAAAATGAAGAACAAGTAAAGTTAAATCAACAAACTTGCCAGTATTTCAATGGGAACTATGGGCCTGCTTTTGGCTAATGAGATGGTCAATGTCCGGTTCCATATTTGTCACTGCTAGTCGTAACAAGTGATGCAAGTGTGCATCTATTAGTCTAGATCTGGTTGGAGATTTCAAATGTTTCATTCTGGAAAAAGTCTGTTCACAGACATAAGTGCTGCCAAAGATGGTTGCCATTTTGAGTGCATGGTTCCTGAGATGAGGATATGTCTCAGAGGGGAGAGATGCATAGAAATTATGAAGGCTGCTTGACTTGAATGCGTCTTTCAGAGAGTCACAATTCTGCAGTTCAGCCAGTTCCATTTGGTAAATTGTATCCACATTTTCAATGTCAATAGAAAATGGGTTACGGAAAAGCTGTATGTCCTGTTCATGGAGATGAAGCTCTTTAAATCCAAATTGGAACTCCTTTTGCAATTTTTCCAGTGAATCCACACGTTTTGTTTGGGAATGCAACCAATGGTTTTTCCGCTAACAGATTTTGAGTTGTGGGGAGATGGCAGAAGTTTTCCTCCTTCACTTGTTTGATGAGGAGGCCTAATATTACTTCAAATGCTTTGACATGTGATTGCATATCACAGATGAGCTTCCCCTTTCCTTGAAGTTGCACATTGAAACTGTTGAGTAGCTCTGTTACATCTGTCAGAAAGGCAAGGTGCCATTTCCGTTCTGCATCATTGAGCTCTGGTACTTCTTTGTTTTTTTAAAGCAGAAAAGCTGTAATCTGTGGAAGTAAGTCATAGAAACGTTTCAAAACTCTCCCTCGACTCAGCCAACGGACTTCTGTGTGATACAGAATATCTTCATAGTCAACATTTAGCTCAGACAGAAATGCTTGAAATTGTCTGTGGTTTAGTGCATGAGCTCTAATGAAGTTAACACAAGATACCACAAATTTCATAACCGAGTCCCACTTCAGTGATTTACTACACAGCGCTTGTTGGTGGATGAGGCAGTGTATGGCTATTGGATGAGAATGGTTATGTTTGTCCATCTCTTGGTTAATGCGAGCAATTACTCCTTTCTTAGACCCCACCATGCTAGGAGCACCATCAGTTGTCACACTGGCTAGTTTAGCCCAGTTCAGCTCCAAACCATTCACAGTTTGGCAAACCTTTTCATAGATATCCTCTCTTCTTGGTTCTTTCGGTAAAGTCACGTAGAAGGGAAGTAATAAAATAATAAAAATAAAACATAATAAAATAATTCTCACGACGTTTCGGCCACAACGCAAGCAGCCGTCCTCAGGTGAAAGCCAGGTCTGTCGGGGAGACAGCGTCTGAATGAAACAGCACACGAGCTTGGAGCATATATAAGCTGGGTTGGAAACGGGGGAAAGAGCGCCTTGACAAATAATTTGCATATCAAGAGGAATTTAGCATATTTATGGGACATGCAGGAATGGTATTAGTACTACATATGCAGCACGGGCATATGTAGTACTAATCACATTCCTGCATTTCCCATAAATATGCTAAATTCCTCTTGATATTGAAACTATTTTGTCAAGGCGCTCTTTCCCCCACTTCCAACCCAGCTTATATATGCTCCAAGCTCGTGTGCTGTTTCATTCAGACGCTGTCTCCCCAACAGACCTGGTTTTCACCTGAGGACGGCTGCTTGCGTTGTGGCCGAAACGTCGTGAGAATTATTTTATTACTTCCCTTCTATGTGACTTTACCGAAAGAACCAAGAAGATGAATCCCTGCAGTCACGAAAGCTTTAAATCGAAAGATATCCTCTCCTGTAGTTGTTCCTTTGATGCTTTGCAGTGCAGCAAGCTCTTCTGTGACTTCGAAATAGTCATTCGTCGCACGAATAAAAATTTGAAGTTGTGCAGAATCACGAACATCATTGCTTTCGTCGAGTGCCAAGGAAAAATAGGAAAGTTTTTTTGTGGAGTTTTGCAAATGCTGATGCAAATTGTCTCCCATTTCTTCAATCCTCCGTGTAATTGTAGGTCCTAAAAGACTCACTGTACTAAATAAATCGGCCTTCTCTGGACACATCTCTTTGGCAACAGAAAGAAGGCATTCTTTAACAAATTCTCCCTCCACGAATGGTCTGCCAGTGCATGCTATTAGCTTGGAAACTTGAAAACTTGCTCGCAGTGATGAAATATTTAGCTGCTTCTGCTTCACAAAACTATTTCGCTGAGTTGTTAATGTATTTTTCAGTTTTAATATTTTATCTTTTCTCACTTCTCCGACCGAACAAGCATATTTATCTTTATGTTGAGTTTTATAGTGTTGACGTAAATTGTATTCTTTGAACACAGACACTATATTCTGGCATATCAGACACACAGCTCTTTCCTTGTACTGCATGAAAAAGTAATCATAAGTCCACTGTTCTTTGAATATCCTACACTCCGAGTAAATTTTTCTCTTTCTTGACATCATTGTTTCCTAGGGAGTCAAAATTGATATTAGTAAAATACCAATATATATACAGCGCTACAAAAACAATATACCAGTAATAACTTTGCCCACACAGAGACATACAGACTGCACTGCCCATCAATGCAGTCTGATTGGGGGAAACTCCGCCCCCTCTCCCTCTTCCACCAATGACCGTCCTTCTCATGCAGAAAAAAAGTGACAGGCAGCGGCGGCAAAAACACCCGGCGGGCCGGATAAATGTCCTCGGCGGGCCGCATGTGGCCCGCGGGCCGTAGTTTGAGGACCCCTGTTATAAATAGAACTTATTTAGAATAATCAGCGCCGCCTGGCTTTTTTAGTTTTTCGATCGCATCTTCTGTTGCGCAGCGGCGTCTTCAGTTTATTATATTTCTTCCATTCTGCACCTCACCGCGACCGGTCCGACATCTCTCGCCCGTGGCAGGCTCGGGCCGACAAAAGCCCGGCGGCACCAAACCGTCGGCGCGCAGCAAGGCGTCCCGCTCGCCGGCCTACACAGAGCGGCCCCCGTCGGCGCCGTCGGAGGGACGCGGGCCCGCGGCCTCGCCCGCCCGCTCCGAGACGACGCCCGTGGGGCCGCCGCCGCCGGAGCAGCAGCAGCAGGACAAGAGACGGGCACCGTCGGCGTCGCCGGCGAGGGGCGACGGCGCCGAGCGGCGCACGCCCGGCGCTCAGCCTCCGGCCTGGGACGACAAGGTGACCGGCGCGGCCGCGACCACCACGGCGTCGGCAGCGGCGTCGACGACGGCGGCCGCCTTGTCCTCTGCCGGTGAGTCGAGAGACGTGCGGCGACGTGCTTTTGCGTTGCGGTTTGTGCGCGCGGGCGAGATTGGTGGGCGGTAATGTCTTAAACGGTGGGTTTGTCGAAGGGGATTTGCGACTCGCCGACGCCCTCTTTGGATAAATTGTTCGTCGTCGTTTAACGTTTGTGTCGCTCGTCGCATGCGGTACGTCTCGAGGGCCCAGGACAATTTGGGTGTTGAAGATAATTGCTCAGTAAGGACTTTTTTTGCAGACTAAATACAATGTTTTAAAACTGTGGTACAGACAGCGTACAAAATATTGTATTACCTCGTTGTTTTACAAAAGAATCCTTTTCCTGATCAATGTCCCTTCCTCCCCCAAGTCATAAGCCACACATCGCCGCCTCTCATCATCATCAGCCATGATCAATCCACTACTGGATGAAGGCCTTCCCCAAGCCGTCGCCATCTATCAAGGTCCTGAGATGTAGCAATCCATCTAGCACCTCCACACAAGCTGATTTCATTGCTACCTCTCTCTAGCGGGCGTCCACCTCTGGCACGTCCGCTTCTTTGGCTTCCAATCGACGCGACTCTTCACCGATGAAACCTCCTCTCTCTCGATGCGTTTACACATCCGCGTCGCGTTCGCACCGAGGCTGTTTTGCCGCGAGAATTCTGCTTGGCTTTTGCCACAAATCCAAACTTCGTCGCGCGTCTCTTTTTGTTCTCGACACGGGCACCTGCTACTGCCCCCGCACGGTTGAGCACGAGACGTTCGCTGGGTCTTCTTCCGCTCGGGTTTTCGTTTGCAAACACACGGAATCTTCGCCGCGACGACGAGTGGTTGCGACACATCACTAATTTTATTTCACCTTCTCTCCCGCGCGTCTTCCTCGCTCACCGTTGCCGACTGCGCGCCCTCTTCCTCCCCCCCCCCTCTTCCGTTTTATTTTTACAGCGGCGGCGCAATTTCCCTTCAACCCCTTGATGCTCATGATGGGCGGCGGCGGCGGCGGTGCAGGTGCGGCAGGCGCTGGTGGCGGCGGCGGCGGCGGCGGCAACGGCAGTGGCGGAAACGGCGCGGGGGCCAGCCCCCCCTCGGTGCAGACTCCCGCACAAGCCGTGCCGTCCCCTGCCACTGGGGGTGCCGCGTCTCCGGCCTCCCAACAGCAGCGCTCGTGGGACCGCGAGAAGCCGACGCCGCTGCTGTCCTCCCAGTACGAGACTCTGTCCGATAGCGACGGCTGAGCGGGGAAGAACGCGGCGTTACCGAGAGGAGCCGCCGGTGACTTGAATTTGAGCGACGAGGGCTGCCGCTCTGCTCCCGCCCCACCCTCCCCCCGCCCCCTGCTACCCACCTGCCCGCTCCCCCTCCCTCTTTCATATGCTCCCACCTCTCGCCGCAGCCCCGCGCGCCCGCGCCGTGTACGGTGGTCTCCTCCGGCTTCAAGTTTTTGACCCCATGACGAAAAAAAAAGCTATCGTTTGTGCAGCGTTTACAGCCATTAATTATCATCAGCCTTTAACCACGTCGTTTTATTGGAAGATGAAAAAGCAGTGTCTTATGGAGGCGGAGACCGAATGGTGGGGAACCTCTGCCACGCGTTTGCGCGCAAAAAAAAATTAATAAACTAGTCGACGATGGGACTGAGAGGAGGACGTTGGGCATCGGATGGAAAATAATTCTTGTTGGCGGCCGTGCTGGAGAGAGAGAGACGAGAGTGAGACAGAGACGGCTCGTTTTGCATGAAAGTAACGAGCCCGAGAGCTTGCGAGGGTTGAAAAAGGAAAAAAAAATATTGGAAAAAAAATCTTAAAAAAGGATGGAGAGAAAAAAAGTGTTTATCGTAAGCAAAAGTTTGTAAAGTCATCGTGAATACAAGCAGAAGAGAGAGTGTGAGTGTGTCATGCAGGACTCGAATCAACGGGTTGGCAGTTGTTTGAGCCCTGGGGAGGTTTGTGCACTGGGTGAAGAGACAAAGATTGACTTAAACAAACAAAAATACAAAGCTTCCCCACTCCCCCATTTTTATAAAGTTTTACGTTTTTAAGAGTTTAAAATATAAGCAGAATAATTTTAAAACACTGAACTCTTGTAAATATGTTGATACCACTCCCTGTGATCATAAAGGTTAATTGTAATAAAATCTAATGCTATGTGTTTGTATTTTTAGTTGTTCTGCAAGCTGGAAGGCTTACTCGCCTTTACTTTGTTGCAGTCACTTTTTTGGATCTGATTACTCGATGCTGCAAGGGGGTTTAAGCTGGTAATGTTTTTTTGTACGCTTACCGTTGCACGCTGTAGGATAGACCAAAGCAAACCCACAACGTCGCGATCGCAAAGTTCTTGCAACGACAGTAACAGCGGCAGAAACGGATATATACCTTTGGCTTTCAGCTGGTATTGTCGGCACAGACCCTGAGTTCGTACGATTTTCTTCATTTAGTGACTACTGATGTTACCAGCAGTCTGCTTGGCATTAATACGACCGACGTGCAACTGGCAAAAAGTTGCCTCTCTTCCCGTGATAGTATAGACTCCAACCCCGCCAACCCCCCCATCGGAGGATGAAACGCGCGCTTCGATGGCCGTGGTAACCGCGCTAAGATGTAGGCGCGTGCTAATTAAGCGCTCGTTAAGCCAAATGTGAGTTTGAGTGAGGTCGATTAGCGCAGAGGTGTAATTTGAGTGATGGGGGTTTGTGTATCCCCGTGGGGTTCAGGCTTAAGGGGTTGGTGGTGGGGAGAGAGAGAGGGAGGGGGAATTGGTTGTGGCGAGGAGGTATCGTTGGGAATTGGAGTCTGGGGAGTGGGGGAGGAGGAGGTGGCTCCTTCACGTGGTCCCCGCCGGCTTGAGAGAGGGGTTTTGTGTCGGGGTTTGTGAAGGACGATCGATGCGTTTAGACACCGGCCCTGGCAGAGCAGCAGGGCCACCGCGGGTGGATGCAGCCTTAATGCACCTCCCGAATATCACGGTTGGCTACGTACGGTGCGAAAGAAAGTTCAAAATGCACGTACATGCAACGCCGCACTTCGCTGGGACGCGACAGCAATCGTACGTGCACACCTTGGGAACACACTCGGCTCATCACGCATGCATCAACAAACACACAGACACACGCGGCGTCATGATTTGTTTGGGCCTTGTTTAAAATCTGCGATCATATTGTTAAGAGAATATATAATCATGCCGTCGGTCAAAGTCTGAATTCTAACTTTCACTCAACGCCTGGTGTTTTCTTTAGCAGGGGCGCGTCGGCAGAGTTTTAATGAGAAACATTTACAGATGCCATTCCCCTTTTGCGGAGTTTTTTTTTGGTTGGGGGGGTTCTTACTGGCGGCAGGCGACGGAATGGATGATCACGCGTGTAACTTTGAGCCGCTTTAACGGCAAAATGCATCATCAAGCAGCAGCAGCATCAGCAGCAACTGCAGCAGCAAGACCTTTCGCGTTGACAAATTTCGAGCGTACCCTTTTTTTCGTCCGTGCCATACTGTATTTGCTTCATATTTTGAATATTCGTTTGCACATTGAAGTGTACCCGACGAACCATCGCGCCTCGAGACGACACTCTATTTTACAACGCAGTGACCCCTCCCCCGCAAGCCCCTCCCCTCCCCACCATGAGAAACAGCAAAAAAATACGAAAAATTAACCCTCATTTTGGCTCCTTGACCTGACGGACTGTGGACACGAAGCAGTGTTGTACGTGATGAAAGCCTGTTTGTACAGTGTATCCGCGCGCGCGCGCGTGTGTGTGTGTATATAGTGAATGTGTGTTTACAATTCTCTAATTATCTTAAAAGACACGTTGAACTCAAAACTTTATTGTTTGAAGAGACAATCAGTTTTTTGCAGATGTTTTCTTTCGACTGTACATCTGATTGTATACTCTTGGCCAAATATGCTTCGACGCATAGAGTGCTTAACATCATTAACACCCCCCCACCCACCACCTTCTCTTCGGTTTGCATTCACACACACACACTTGCCTGCATGTGTTGAGATGGGGGGGTGGGGGTGGTGGTGGATGCGGGAGGAGGGGTTGTTGTACCGCTTTCATGTTTTACCCCCCCCCCTCCTTGCTGTCCACGCAGTAAGGTGCATACGCGTGCGCCTCTCAGATAAAAAAAAACACTCTGCTATTACAGTTGGTCACCAAATGAGGAAAATTAAAATAAGTATCTATGTATCGTTCCGGATGTACATTTTGTTACTCGGGCTGCTACGCACTTCACAACAGCAATTGTTCGTCATTTCCAAGCCGCGGCCTTTGGATGAAAGCCTCCTCCGTACAGCGTGATTGTGGGGGGGTGGTGAGGATTGTTTGACCATACTTCACCACACTGGTCAGTGCGCGATGTGTGAAAGTTGGGGGGGGGGTGGTGTTGAGAGTGGCGGGGAGATTTCACTAGCCACTTACTGATGCTGTTGTGGTCGCGGCCAGGGATCAAACTCGGGGTCATTGCGTTGGAGGCGCAGTCCGCTGACGACGTGGTCTGTCAGGGGGGGTGCGGTGGCGTTTGTCCATTCGTCACCTGGCGGAGGGGTGAGCTTCGCAACCGATTCGGCTGTCTCGCCCGCACCGATGTTCAACCACGTGCGCGGGGCGCTCACCGCTGGGCCCAAGGCTCCCACCTTCCCACCCCCAGCTATAATACTACACCATATTTAAATATTGGGAGGTTTCGCTCGCGTTAGCTTTGAGAAGAAGACGAAAAAGAATATCGCCCGGCCCTACACTAAATTATTTATAGGCTCGCGGCACAGAAATTGGGGGGGGGGAGGGGGGTGAGGATATTTTATATTGGCTGGGTGGGGAGGAGGGGTCGTGACCTTTCCGCGACGAAATCCCGCAAATTTGAATTATTGTTCAGACGTTAAGAAAGGGGAAAGCGGGGGGGGGGGGGGGTACACATGTCATTGTACTGTACAATAGAGGTGATTCTATAATTGTATGTTGGGAAATGCTTTAATTCTGGTAATTGCCCTTAGGCGAGGCGCCCAGGGACCGTCAAACGCTCCCTGATTTCCCCGGGGTTTGCGCAGAGATTGCCTGAAAGCGCGGCGAGCCCTCAGCCCGCATACCAATAAGTCTCCCTCCACGGGCGAGATGGCGTCAACATGAAAAACCAATCTCATTTGCCTGCAAATGAGTTCTGGGAGAGAGCTTTGCCCGGCTCTTTCGTCAAATAGGGTTAATGCCCAAGAGGGTGAATCCCCCTCCACTCGTCTCGTCTCCCCCCCCCCACTCGTCTCCCCCCCCCCCCCACACTCTTCTTTCCCATCCCCCGCTCCACGTGCAATATTTAGGAACAAGCCCTAACCACTGGGCAGAAGCCACGGATAACTTGTGCGGTCTTTCCTACCAAGGAAATGTGTCGTAGAAATAATAAGAATAAGAATGGCGGCATTGATATATATATAAAATCTTGAAGTGGTTTATGCTAGATAACAAGACATCCATATAGCATACTGTTGGGGCAAGCGCTGTATGCGAGCACCTATGAAGGCCAGCACGGTGTCAAGAACGGGTGGATGGCCAGAACCACACTCCACCGCCTTTGCCTCCCCAGTGGCTGAGTCGACCTAGGGGAGTCCCAGAACTAGTTCAGATAATCGTCACTGCTGTTGGCCCTGAGAGGGAATCGAACTCGGGTCGCCGGGTTCGAAGCGCGGCGTGATAACCGCTACACTACCGCGTCCCAGATAACGCGGGCGCACACGCATCATAGATGTCTAGTTTATATGCGGGATCAGGGAATACGCTCGCATTAATGTGTTAAATTACAACACAGAAACGCGTAGAGTAGTGCCTGAGTAACGAGTCGATTATGCATAAGCGGCCCGTGGCTTTTTTTTTGCCGTCACTCAGCGAGAAAAATATCCAGGCGTCGAAAATCAATACGCAGTCGTAATGATTATATCGCGAACAGCCTTCAATGCCACGGGATCATTTTCCCCAGCGAACGTCGTCGGACTTTCGCTGGAAACGATGGCAAAAGTGTTGCTGCTGTTGGAGTGCGGCACGCAGGGAGTGACGTGGTGAGTCACAGGAGGGAGCCGCGTGGAGAGAGATCGAGAGAGAGGTCCGTCTCTGATCATTTGTTCACACGCGTGTCACACGATGGGGGCGTCACTTTATTTCTTACCTTTATTACTGCTGTCAAGGCCCTGCATTCTGGTTTGTACATCCCCCTCCGCCCCCCCCCCCCCCCGTTAAACCGAGGCCACTGCGAGTTTGATCTGGTGTGTGTGTGATCAAGTTGTGTGTGTGATCAAGTTGTGTGTGTGATCCAGTGTGTGTGTGTGTGATCAAGTTGTGTGTGTGATCCAGTGTGTGTGTGTGATCCTGGGTCTGCCCCGTGACCTGCCAGTGAGCGTTCGACACTTCACGTGGCCTCAAGGTGCACATGGCCTGGCACAAGCGTCGTGGTGACGTCACCGCCACTTAGTGGCGAATGGCGGTTGTAGTGTGATCCAGTGTGTGGGTGTGATTTAGTGTGCGTGTGATCCAGTGTGTGAGTGATCCAGTGTGTGTGGGGACTGGATCAGACACCCACCCCCTCGGTAGTCTAGCGGTTAGCGCTACAACCTGGCGACCCGGGTTCGATTCCCGCTCACGGCCAACACCAGTGACGATTATCTGAACCGGTCCTGGGCCTCCCCTAGGTCGACTCAGCCTCAAATAAATACTTGGTGCGGTGTGTAAACATCGCCACTGGGGTGCTGGTCACCCACTCCGTCGTGTACCGTTCCGGCCTTCATAGGTGCTCGCTAACAGCACTTGCCCCTACAGTCTGTTAAGGCTACACGGGGGAATCGTTGTCTTTGTGATCGAGTCGCGTTACGAGCGTGGGGCGGTCAGGGGGTGCCTTGCCCCCCCCACTCCCCCGTGGCCAAAGCTTCGAGTTGGGCCCCCCCCCCCCCCCTTGACAACCATCATGAGATCTGTTTTCAGTGTAAACGAATGAAACAACACGAATGTAACGACGATGGTGATCACGGTGATTAAGGCACGAAGGACCCGCGATATATACAATAGCATCTAGGCGCCACCTAATCGAGACTAATCACAATATTGGGGGGCCCCCCACCTGATCGATTGCCGCAACCCCCCCCCCCCCCCCCAGCTGATAATGGCACTGGCGTAATCCGAGGAAACGTCACTTTTCCAAGTGACTATTGAGTCATTGAGTGGACGTAGACAAAGCCCCCCCCCCCACCCTATCAAACTCCACCTGGACTCGGGGCCTCTTCACGCCGTGGGGGTGGCGTTATTGGAGCAGTCTACTCGGTTCTTTCACGTTGGTGAATCCAGGGCAGCATAGAATACAGTACAACTCTCACATTTCGCCTCGTGCAATGACCGTCAGTGACGTGTGGCTCTGGCAGCATGGCACTTGCGGGCTCGTTCGGGAGATACCGCCCAGCCCCAAGGGCTGCTGAGCTGCGATTAACACGGTCGGCTACGTACGGTGCGAAAGAAGTGCAACGTAGGTGCGCATCGCTGCCGAGAGCTGATGGATGTCGCGCGCACTGTGAGTGGTTTGGCCATAGGCCACGCCGCGCGTGTGTGGAAGGTGTCTCGGAGTGCGACGCACGCGTTGAAGTGCTGCTCCTGCGCGTGTGTTGTTCTTGGCAACTCGTTGGTAGCCACACATCGATTGTCGGTTCTAACATTCACCGCCGAAAGGGCGGCTCCGTCGTGATATGGGGTGGCGGCGGGGTGGATCAATATCGCTGATAGTACTGGGGCCGTCCATAAATGACGTCACGCACCTGGGGCGGGGGGGGGTTAGACATTTGTGACGATGTGTGACGAGGGGTGGGGGGTTGAGAAATGTGACGTCACATCAAAATGCGCCACTTTAAATAAATATAGGCAACACGTTCTACTTAATTAAATTGACTTTTGATAAATGAGTGCAACGGCACATTAAATACGCACTACAATGACAATAGTTTAAAGCGATTTGAAGCATGTTTTATTTTTTTGGGGGGTGGGGGGCAGAGCTTTGTGACGTCATATTTGAGGGGGGGTCTGACTTTTTGTGACGCCGTGTGACGAGGGGGGGAGGGTCAAAAATCGTCCAAAATCGCGTGACGTCATTTATGGACGGCCCCTTACCTACTATAATGCGCCAAGAATGCCAATGTGCACGCTCGTGACGTCACTCCACGTCCACCAGCCCCCCGCATTAATAATCATGAGCAGGTGACGTAACGCCACATCGAACAGCCCCCCTCATTAATTATAAGGTGACGTCCTCCAAATGGACATCCCCATTCATAATAATTAGCGGGTGACGTCACTCCACATGGGGGGGGGGGGGGGCGAGGCGCCTCCTCCCCCCTCCTCGGCGTCAACTTACAACCCTCACGTCACGTGATCTCCGTGACGCCGTTGAGACATCAAAGTAAAAAGGACGTGATGAACACGGGATTATAACTTGTAAATGAAAATGAAATAAATATGTGTCACCGCGCCCTTACAAACTGCACACGCATTAATGCAATGAATATCATGTCGCGGTCTGCTTTTCGCTTGCAAGTTTCAGATTTACTGCAATACACCCCCATCCTTGGACGGGCAAAAGGCGAGTGTGTTATAATGGGGCCCTAAAAAAACACATAAATATTAAAAGACACATTTTTAACCCGCATAGTAAAGTTATTGTATTTTTTCATTTGCTATACAGCCAGATAATTCGACAAATCGCTAACCTTAAACGCACAGTCGTTCATAAAAGTTTAAGGCGGTATAGTTCTATAGTAATAGAGCAAGTGCAGAATCTCCGTGACTTTACCGAAAGAACCAAGAATATGAATCCCTGCAGTCACGAAAGCTTTAAATCGAAATGGAATTGATAGCTTGAAAGCATTTAGCGCGGGGCCCTTGAAAGTGCTGGGCCCGTAGCATGTGTAGCTACTTTTGCTTCTGGGATAATCCGGCACTGGACAAAGTGAGTTCCTACAATGGGGACAATGATGGGGGATGGGGTTAACAGTTTCCCTGGGCTGGGACGAGCCACGTTTAAGTGGCGAACGCAAATTTTCAACTTTGACGGACCTTTTTTTTCTGGTAACCCACTTTAATCGTTTTCTTTCGCGCAATCGTTTGATCGCGGCGCTACCGCTTGAGGTCACCGTTAAAGGGAAACGAGACACTCGGGATTGGAAATCGTGA